GAGAGACAAAGGCCCCAGGAGCAGGTCCAAGATACACCTGAAAAACTTTGGCCCTCTCCTGGAATGTTGTCCTGGTCCCAGAGCCACTCCTGTGTCACTGAAGACACTCCTGCTGGCAGTATAAACCTCTCTTCTGGGGCCCCGTGAAGTCTTCACCAGCTAAGTGGTGTGCGTATGTTCACACAACTAGAGGTTTTCAAAGAGTAAAAGAGCTTGGGATGATAGTCTTCTTATTTAGGGGCTCTCCTATTGTTGGTTTATTGGCATCTCTATACAAAAAAAAGCTTGTGAAAGGATTCAGTTTGACATACTAAAATGGATACTTACGTAGTATTTTACTTCGTGACCTTCATAATGGAGACTATCTCGTCTATATACTTTCGCAACTCTCTAACCTATGGCAGCACCAGTGCTCCGGGCTTCTCTCAGCCACAAACGGAGACACTGATGTCATCAGAGAAGGTTGCCGCTCTGTTGATAGTGATTGACGACAACATCTCCACTCCTTCTTCCTTCCACGCGTACTCTTTCTCGACCTGACAGCGACACGTTTGTGTCGACTTTAGAAAGCAATTAAAAAGATGATTAACTGCTCAAATGTGGTCAGTGATGATTCCACACGTACTACTATTTCTTAAAGAGGTTCACCCATTGACTTACGTGCTATTGGTTTTTGGGTCATCCCACTAAATGTTGCTCTGCTTGTTCTGATGTCAGTAGAGTATGATATACCCAACAACTTTGCATCTGGATTGCTGTGAACAAGAGATACAACTCCATTTTCTGTCTCTGTTAACTGTAGTTGGATGCCATATGCACAAATTTCATCATTTTCACACGAGATGTTGGTCCAAGTCCCACTGATCGGGCTATCATTCAACGATACTCCATCTGTTGTAATACCAGGAGTGTTGAGTAAAAAAATGTTCACATAGTTTCTAACGCGCAGTCCAGAAAAGTAATTGAGCATGTAGGAGTCTTTGTACTGTCCAGCAGGAGGAATGACTGTCATGGAAGGATCTGCTGCAATTAGTGAACTCGCAGCTCCTCCAATGGAGAATTGAATTAGCAACACCGGATGAATAGAAGTGAAACAACAGAACCTGTTTGCTATTATCTCAAATTCAGTAAAGTCTCCAGCAGTGGATAGACTCCTTTCATCTGTGATGTTGACAGTCCCAGTACAAAACCACGATAATGAGTTATTATCTCTAGAGCTGATGGCTCAGAATCTATCTAGTTGTCGAGTCATGAACGAAGCAGTGTAAAACTTGATACCCCATGTGGCTATTGGCGAAATCTGTTCCACCATGTGGTCGCAGAACTGGAGGTCAAAGGGCATGTTTCCACACTCGTGGCCGGAAAATAATGCCAGTGGTTTGTCTGATACTACATGAGTCCCAGTCAGATCCTCATGGCTGGAGAGAAACACTGCTTCTCTCTGGCCTATTGTCAGTTTTAGTGAGGTTCCAGCTGGCGTTGTAGTTCCTTTAATCATTTCTACATTTTGTGAAGGAGTGATTGTAACAGTCGTGCTGTCCTCAGATGCAATTAAAACTACAGTACTATTCCCAGTAGGCGGTAGGATAAACTCTTCTCCCTCCTCTATTAACACTCTTATTTCTTTTGCTACTGATATGGCGTAATATTCATAGTTCTTACTAGGAAGATAAACACACGGCAGTAGCTGGTAAGTGTCAGAGCTAGAATATTCTGCACCAAATGCAGTTGCCGACAACCTCACCCCATCTACGGATTGAAAGAAGACTCCCTTGTCCATTTCACCGACAGCTCCAAACCGAATTTCAGGAGGTAGAGTTAACTCAACTGAGGAACTAGGTCCAATTTCTATTTCCCTTGTTTCAGATTTGTACGAGTAAGCAATTGTTTGCTGAAACTGTTCCATGTTATTGAGTTTCAACAATATAGAGTTTCGAGAGAATAATTGAGAGAATAATTGAGAGAATACTTGAGAAATTACAATATTGCTGAAAAAGGCCACGTAAAACTCCGACCCATCATTGCAAAACTCTTTCATACCTACATTTTGAGAACAGTGTGCATTAGTTGGCAAGCAAATGTGCCTATCTAGTAATTCAAACTGACAAGGCTAGGGCTTATGAACTTTTGCTGTCACACATTTTGTCGCTGATATTTTTCCATTTGCAATGAATCACTCTCCATGATTAGCTATGATGCATTAGAGACTCACTGAAGCAGTTACTGCAGCCGTCCCCAGAGGAAGAAGAGAAAGAGAGACCTCTCCCCCCGCAGCAGTCTCCTTTCAGAGGAAGATCTGTTTCCACAACTCCTCCGCGACACTCTGTCGACTCGTAGCAGGTAAAGTTCCGTGCTGAAACTGCAGGTGTTAGAAATACAAAACATTGTGGTGGGCTAGTTCAGGTTTTTCCTTCACCGGAATATTTTTGCCGCTGATTGTCTCTACCACTAATTCAAACCCACAACACAGTTCCAAACTTGAGTAAATTGCAACGTCTATCTATGGGCAATTCTAGTTAGCTAGCTATATACCTTCGTTATGCGAAATCACTACAGAAATGGAGATCACCAGCAACACCGTGCCTAGTGCCATAGTCCGCCAACGGCTAGCACTGAGCAAACTGAGAAGTGCGCGGATGCCGGTCGGTGCCGCTAATTGATGGATGGGCTGGGCTACACAGTTTTGGCACTGTCTTAGCTAGCCTCTAGCCTCGTCAGAGAGAGGGAGAAGGCCTGGTATATACACACGGTTCGCGCATGTGCCGAATAACAAATGTGGGCGTGTCCAAATACGCGGCCACTTTGTATCGTACATGCTTGTCTAGCACGCCGCCAATTGAATGGGTGGGACCCACGCAGTACCGCGCATGCGCAATGCGCAGAAGGGTTTGCATTTTAGTGAGCGAAAGTGCATATCACTAAGTACAGTAGTAAAAAAAATCCTGATAGGAATGGTATAGAATGAATGGGAGACAGATAAGGATGGGATACATGAAGCATGGTTAATGAACAGATTTGAGTACGCTGACACCCCCAACCCCATCATGCTCGCTGTCCGTCACGTGGCGCACCCCCACCGGCTCCTCGGCTTTCGTTGGCGCCCACCAGAGTAAAAGAAAGCTTATCCCGACGCTGCCACGTGCGTGTTCGGGCTCAGGGATTACCGTAGTAGCGCGGATATAGACCGAGCTCTCGTAGAGCGTCTTCCCGGATCTTGTGCGTATATACAGTCACAATTAAAATGAAGCCAGTGTAGCGACGAACTCGTTGGTATCGCTATTTTGTTATCTCGTTGCGCGTAGTCTCAGAAAACGTGGTAACAGACAGACTGACTGACTGACACACTTACGGGACAACTACCGTAACCCTCGCTGCGCATGCGCGCCGAGGGTTAATAATCATAGCATGAGGTTTCCTACTGACAAACAGCTTCCTCAGAGCCTGAGACTAGAGTGAACTCCTCTGCTCTGGCCACTAATTTTCACCACAAAGAGCACCCTCGAGGAGGCAACTAAATTCATCATCTTCTCTGTGAGAGCCTACACCAGAGTGGGACCTGGAAATGCTACCTCTCTTACCGTGGCTACACTATCTGCTGAGTAAAGTAAGAAGGACTCTTATTATACTGTTTCCACTCTTAAAATAATCATCTAGCTACACGTTTTTAATCTACAGTTCCGACTTTAAAAAAGACTGCTGCTATACTTGGAATTGGAAGTGGTGTAGCATTAATTGGAATCATTACTTTTGGAATTGCCATTTTCTGGACTGTATTCAAAAGGTAGCTAACAACTTCATGTAATATTTTGGCTTTGAGATCGCATTGCAGAGCCTAGCCAAGAATGTACACAGGGTATAATCCAGCCTATGGTGTAACTCTTGGTGTGAGATATAACCCATCAAGAAAGATTGATTCATCACCTACCCATACACAGGAGCCTGTGTATGATACAATCAGTTAGTAACATGACTTCACCTGTAGTAATTTAAAATGTCGTAAATGATTCATAACTTATTGAAGCTACGTTCAAGTACTCAGAGTATATATAGGCTGGAGTAACTTGAACCATGTAGCCAGGCACTAACCAACAAGCATTACACACAACTGAACGTTCTTGCACTTTTTTTGCCAATCACACACTGTGCTGAGAATTTTCTGTTGGCGAGCAAAGCCGAGCCCACCTAGGCGTCTGAAACCGGCGACCCAACGATCAACATGTTTACGTGACGCGCTAAAACGCGCGAATGCTCGCTTCCCTCGCCAAGCCTTAGAGTAAGGTGATGCCCTACGGTCGTCTGAAGCTGCCCCCGTACTAGCCGTCAGACCCAGCATGAGGCGCACTAGACAGCACTTGGCTACCTGTCTTTCTCTGTGACGACTCTTCCTTTGGCTTACTGTCCGTAGCAGTGGCAGGAGGTCTGGGTCGCTTCCCGCTAGTAGCGTGAGCCGAGCCGGGAGAGCGTGGAGATGGTTTAGGTGGAGCTTCAGATTTTCCTTCTCCCTCGCCGCGTCCGAGCGGTAGAGGTGGTGGTTGGTACCGTAGACACGATGCTGAGGTACACCGTAGCCGGAATCTTCAGCTGCTGAGCCATCTGCGAGCAGTCTGGAGTTCCCGAGAGAGAATCTTGGTGGTTGCTACGTGCTGCGCGTTATTTAGAAAACGTAGCTACTGCGTTTCCGTCTGTTAGTAGCTCCGTGGAGATTAAGAATACGAGTCACTGGGAAGAGACGAAGCAAATGTAGCTTTTGGTATCTGCTTGGCTTTGGAAGTCGAGATGCCTGTCTGCATCATGTTTTGGCGCTCAGGCTGTTTCCATGGCAACCACAAGCGCCACAAAGCGCGTGATAGAGACATGTGTGTATTATTGTGATTCATGTGTGTATTGTGTATCACTAAGGGATGACACAGGTTGTCCTGCATTATGCCTATACATTTGAGATTTTCATGTTTCACTTTCAGTTTCAAACTTTTGACACATCAGACTAATTTGTATCGTGGCATCCAAGAAATAGCTGAAGTCGCATAATCGGTACTTAAAAAGTCGCTTTTAAATTTTCTTGTTGTTGTTGTTGTTGTTGTTCAGTTTCAACAAGCGTATCTCAATAACCAGGTTAGATATGGAGATCAAACTTTGCACAAAGATTGGAATGCATGACAGGTCGTGCAAGAGCATTTTTATTTAATTTTATTTCTAAACAATACACTATTATAGAGACAAATAAAGTGTGCTAACTGGGTAAAGATAATAGACACATGCAACCAATCATTAGTATCAAAATGTATACAAGTTTGTTAACAACAACAAACAGCCTCAGGCAATAAACACTTGTAAACTATGCCTATAACTTGCTTATGGTGGGACTGGTACACTGATGTTCCATGATAAGAGTTCATTGAACAGAAATTAAACAACAACAAACAGCCTCAGGCAATGAATACTAGTAAATTATGTTTGTGCCAATAACTTGCATAATATTGTGGGTCCTCTAACAATGAAACTTGGTACCCTGATGTACCATGGTGATAGTTCATCGAAACAGAAATTACAAGTTTGTCAACAACAACAAACAGCCTCAGGCAATAAATGGTGTTTGTGCCTATATTGTGGGTCTTCTAACAACGAAACTGATTTACAACGATGAGAGTTCATCGAAACACAAATTACAAGTTTGTAAACCACAACAGGCAATAAACACTTGTAAATGATGTTTGTGCCTGTAACTTGCTTATTGTGGGTCGTCTAACAATGAAACTTGGTACACTAATTTACTATTATAAGAGTTTATTAACCCTCGGCGCGCATGCGCAGCGAGGCTTGCGGCTCGGAAAAATGGCGAACGTCTCCTTCTCATAAAACTTTGTCTGTTTTATGGACATGAGGTATCGTATCGCTCTACCCTCTGTGCTCCAGTGTCATTGACCAGCAGTCAGAAAATATGGCTGTCATTTGCGGAGATTACGAGTCATCGACCCATAGTTTCAGCTGTCCAGCAGAGCGTGGGCTCTATCTGGTCGCCAGGTGCCAGACTATGCTCCGGTTGGAGTCAGAGCGGGGGCTCTATCGTATTTTTGATTATCTGGACTGGAACTTCAGATTTCATGTTTATACTTTAACTGTTTGACTGTATGCATATGCCCCTTGGGTCCTGCAAAATGAAATTTGAACTTTTTACGGTATATGGGTCTGTGTGTGTCTGTCGGTCTGTTATTCGTCATCTCACTTCTCGAGTGCCTTGTATGATGTATTATTAACCCTCGGTGCGCATGCGCAGCGAGGGTTACGGTAGTTGGGTATGGGTGTGTGTCTGTCTGTCTGTTACTCGTAATCTCACTTCTCGAGTGTTCGTTCGTCTCACAAAGGATACCACCTACTGAACGGGCAATGAAGGTCAGAAATATGGAACGGTTTTCTCTGAAAACGCTCCGTTGCAAAGCTAGAGCGGGAAAAAGCCAATATGTAAATACACAACGGCTTACTACGGCATCGTCGATCGGCGTGCTCTGCGTACCTCGGAGGCACCAGAGGATGCAACGCAGGGCGTGTATCGCCTCTCGCATGCTATATAGTAGTGTAGTTAGCCCGCGTCAGACTCTGCGCGAGCTGACAGCAGACCACGAGTAACAGCTAAAACTATGTTTACTTACGCGTACGCGTCACAATGCGCCGAGGGTTTGCACGTCAGTGCTTTCATTGAAACATGAATTACAAGTTTGTAAACAACAACAAACAGCCTCAGGCAATTAACAATCTGTCTTTCCTATAACTTTGTACACAAAAATTTTTATGCGAATTGGAATATAGGGATGCCATAAGAAGCAAGGAGACAAGACAGGGATGACTAGTGTATGTGATGCATTAGTACTGTGGGATGATGGTTACATTTTCAAACTGACATTGCTTGCTCATGTAAATCTTCCTCCACACAAGCCCTATATTGTAGCCACTTTTCTCGCAACATGAATTTGTTTAGTGTGAGGACAATGGTGAGGCCGAGACACATCGATCCACTCGTGCATAAGAAACGAGTCATAGCTGCACATCATACAATAGAGATCACTCGTGCTAGCAAGAGACAGTGCATTTAGCCGGCACTCTTTAGTTGAGTCCCCTCTCTCAAGAATATTAAGACCAGTCCGTAAAGGAACTCTGGCAGGCCATGAACACAGCATTGTAAAACTCATCGTTGAGCGAACACGGAAGTCTTAGACTGCACACAATACAGTCACAACCAAAAACTGAGGAGCTGTCAGAGAGGGCAACAGCTGTGCATCACGTGCTTAAGAGATGAGTCATTCTATGAGGGAGCACAGTCATGTTTTTCGACAATATAGGGCTTGTGTGGAGGAAGATTTACATGAGCAAGAAATGTCAGTTTGAAGTTGTAACCATCATCCCACTGTACTAATACACTAGGTCATCACTGTCTTGTCGCCTTGCTTTTTATGGCATCCCTATATTCCACACTTTTTTAATTCGCAGACTTTTTTGTTATAATTATGGCTTACAACAGATCCGCGTGCTCTGCGTACCTCGGAGGCACCAGAAGATGCAACGCAGGGCGTGTCGCCTCTCGCATGCTATCTAGTAGTGTAGTTAGCCCGCGTCCGACTCTGCGCGAGCTGGCAAGAGACCGCGAGTAACTGCTAAAACTAAACCCAGCCCATCAATTAGTGGTATGGCGCATGTGACGTGTGCTGCGCGTCGCTCTATCGTTATGTAGCTATAATAACAGCTAGAGGAAAGGACAATGTCAAAGGTTAGGTGCAGTTCCCGAACTGTAAGCTGGGCAAGGGTAGCCATATGTTTTTTAGCAGCTACTTGATGTACAACTCAGCCAGTTCCACTGCTATGTTGTCACTTCTTGTGTTGTCAAAGAGACAAATTCTCAGTTCCAGGTCATCGCTAGTTGTCTGGTTGAGGGTTTTGGTGAAATATGGAGGATTGTGGAAAGAGCAACATGTACTGGTGAAGTGACAGTCTTTACCATCCCAGAGAGTGTCATTGGAGTGGAGTCTGTAAAATTCTGCGCTATTGTAATACCCAGGATACACATACCCTGACTCACAGAAGTAATCTTCCCCTACAAATTGTGGGACGGATACAATATTGCCAATTCCACATGGACAGTGAGTGGGTTCTAGTCGTGTACTATTCTCCTTTTGTCCATTAGCAAATGTCCAGATGTGTTGTCGAGGACTGCCATGCATTACAGCAACACCAGCAAAATAGGCACTGTCAATTATTGTAGTTTGTCCAGTATAATATCCATAGAAGGCATCAGGCTGTCCATACTGGTAGGCTCTGATCCTGCCACACACCTGACTGTATGGTCCTCCACTGACAGGGAAGAAGACTGAGTCACAAGTCCTAGATCCAGTACTAACTTTGCCACAAGTTCTCTTGGAGTATCCAGTGAGCTGCCAGCCAGAGGGACAGTTGGTGTTGGGGTCTGTCATATCCAGGTAGACTGCACATCTCCAACCCCATTTTCCTCCACATTTTGATCCTCCAGTGTTATTAACGATCTGTTCTGTCAGGCTCTGGTTCATTCTCATTAACCCTCGGCGCGCATGCGCAGCGAGGGTTACGGTAGTTGGGTTTGTCTGTCTGTCTGTGTGTCTGTCTGTTACTCGTCATCTCACTTCTCGAGTGTTCGTTCGTCTCACAAAGGATACCACCTACTGAACGGGCAATGAAGGTCAGAAAATATGTGGGGTTTTCTCTGAAACTGCTCCGTTGCAGAGCTAGAGCGCGAAAAAGCCAATATGCAAATAGGCAACGGACGGGAAGGCTCATACCACGGTCTGATCGATCCGCGTGCTCTGCGTACCTCAGAGGCACCAGAAGATGCAACGCAGGGCGTGTATCGCCTCTCGCATGCTATCTAGTAGTGTAGTTAGCCCGCGTCAGACTCTGCGCGAGCTGGGAAGAGACCACGAGTAACAGCTAAAACTAAACCCAGCCCATCAATTAGTGGTACGCGCATGCGTTAACTTACGCGTGCGCGTCACAATGCGCCGAGGGTTTGCACTTCAGTGCTTTTCATTAGTTTAGTAATAATTTGATAGTCATGTTCGTAAATCTTGTCACATATTATGTTGGCTGTGCTATTGAGACCATTAAACCCTCTCTTGACACCCCTGAAATCATCTCTCATTGATTCATTCAGAGAATCCGGTCTGGTGTGAAGTTTCTCAACCTCTTCTGTGAGATTATCAACCTTTTGACTGAGGCTTGCTATGTCAGACTTCATATTCTTCATGTCTTTCTGCATAGTCTCCAAAGCTGGTCCTACAACTTCATACACAGCTGCAGCAATCCTCACAATTGCAGAAAACACATCTTATTTTGATGCCAAGTATTATCTATTCACTTACCATCAGATTGAGACTCTCCCAGGTGTACATTAGACAGTGTCACTAGACACAAGACCAGCAGAAAAGACCTGTCCATCTCAGAAGGCGTTCAGGCTCCCTGCAATGCATGCACAACTATACAGCCAAGCTAACTATATATGTGATAACCCTGGCGTTGCAATAACAGAGGTAAGCTAAAGAACCTCATTAGGTTGCACCATACAATCTTCCCCTGCTGATAAAACCACCCTCCACACAGGCTTGCATAACTTGGGGTAGATTAGCAGATACACAGAAACAACTACAGAGCCTTTGAACAACCATAATATGCAGGTTTCTCTGGTTGGAAGACTGATGAAATGTAATAATACAATCATTAGGGAGAGCTGTATGCGTTTTCAGTCGGCTGATGATATGTGACAGTGTTATTATGAGGGTTAGCAGCGAGAGAGGGAGGAGAAGGAGGGGTGAGGTTTAAATAGGTGAGACACTCTGTAATGGCGTGAGCAGCTTCTCTGTCAGACAGAGCCACTTCACTTAGTCTGTGTTCATGTCTCCTTATCTGACTGTTGGGAGAGAGGGAGTGAGAGAAGTGAAGTAAGCGAGGATTATACAAGTGGAAAAATCATTTCTTCAAAATGAAGGGGTGATATAGGGATGGCTTGAAGCACCAAAAAGGAAGAAACAAGGGGTCATTACACAGCAAAGATGCACCAAGCTACATGACACCATCCCTATATCTTTGTCTCATAGAAAACTTTACTTGTGAACTATAGCTATATTATAACACAAAGATATAGGGATGGTGTCATGTAGCTTGGTGCATCCTTGCTGTGTAATGACCCCTTGATTGTAGAGCTACGTCGTAGGAACGACGCTAACTCACCAACTGTTGGTATCTATCGCTGTGACATTGCAACTAATGCTGTCCATGATGATACTGACACCTCAGCGAGAAGCACAGTCTATGTGGGACTGTATACTGCCAGTGGAGGTATGAGAAGAATACAGGGGCGGAGATAGGGATCAAAAAGTGGGAGGGGTGCAACAAATGATTTGTATACAAGCAAAATAAACTAGCGGCAGGCAGCATGAAAGGTGGGGGGGGGGGGGCTATCCTCAAAAGGTGGGGGGTGCCAAAGCACCCCATGCCCCCCTAGTGTCTCTGCCCCTGGAATAACTAAAGAGCTGACTGGCCTTGTCAGCATATACCATGAAATTGATGTGTAACTGTGCTAATAGGGATTCTGCTGCTCTTTTGTTCAGGAGATGTTTCAATATCAGGAGGAGTGATATTTGACCCTAGCCAGCTGACCCTCACCTGTATCTCCACTGGTGGACCTGCTACCACTGTCACTTGGACCAGAGACTCCACCACTGTCACACAAGGAATCCAGACTGTGTTGAATGACCCAGTGACTGCACAGTACACCCACACTCTGACTGTGACTACTGCAGGAGATTACACATGTACTGTGGCTAATAACAAGCCATCTTCTGCTTCAGCTAGCACCGTTGTAGCAGGTATATACAGTCAGTATACTATGTACCCATAAGCCAGTGTTGAGATTGTGCCTATAATAGTCATCGTATATACATGTGGCCAATGACACATTTTACGTGTGTGTCTATAATATGCCTCAGAAATCGTTTTCATCTCCCCTCTCCTGCTATATATATACGTTTCTCCCTTCCCCTTCCCTCCTCCATGCCTTTCGCTGTCATCAGTGTTCCATCCATAGTGGTCAGTGGTGGTAAGTAAATTTTACCACCACCTCCACTCGTTGGGAAAACTCAGCTGGGTTGTAACTTAGATTGTCAATGAATGACAACGCCACTTAATGGGCATGGAGCCATGTATGCCGTAATGTTTCTTTTGGTTGAATCTCATTAATTGTATATTGACTTTACATAGTAGAAAGGTTTGGACTGAAGAACATTGGCCGCCCAACAATGTGTTTAAGAGAGTGATTCATTTGTCTATGTCACAGCTCCGTGCGGTCCGTCATGCATTTCAATTTAGGTCCCCGCCTCCCACTGATGTGACAGCAGTCCAGGACGGTCCCACTAGTATCACAGTGACCTGGACTCCTCCCTCTCCTCTGGATGGTATCACTGGCTACAGGATCTCCTTCACTGGAGGCAGCAGTGGTAGTGAGACTGTCAGAGGTGGAAACACTATGAGTCACTCTCTGACTGGTCTCGCCAATGGAGAGACCTACACTATCTCTATTGTTGCCTCAACCAACGGTCTTTCTAGTGCACCAGTACAGATCATTGTTGGTTTAAGTATGTTCCACTTCTTGTGTGTAGGAATATCTCTTCCATCTGCTGCCAATGTTACATACATGTGCAGTTCTCCACGATTGTGTGTTCTCTCAGATTTCATATTGAGACTCTCTTCCACAGTTCTGTCTACACACACACAAGTGGAACATACTTAAACCAACAGTGGTCTGTACTGGTGCACTAGAAAGACCGTTGGTTGAGGCAACAATAGAGATAGTGTAGGGATGGGATCAACTGCTAAGAACGGCAGGAAAGATCGCGCATGCGCTTAAACCACTCGGCCACATCCACTAATTACAACCCTATTAAACGTGTGCGCTAAAACATCACCATACACGAAATACTGGAGTACTGCTCTAAACTATCGCGCGTGCGCTTGTTCATTCTGCAACGCAACGAGCCCTTCCCACCTTTTGCAACGGTCTTTCATCTGCACCGCTGCACATCGATTGGATAAAAATGCCCGCTCGCGGGAAACTTTCGCCGCTTGAATATATCTGGAAGGAAGCAAACGATGTCTCTTTTTCAGCTGGGCAGATTATATTTGGTGGGACACCACGAATCATTGCCTACCTTCGACAACATAACTTGCTGGCAACGACAATGGATTGCACAAGGTAATAAAGACAGTTACAGCATGTAAGTCACGAAGAAATGAGATATTGCAATGCATGTAGGTGTCCAAATACTCCGATGATTGAGCGGCCACGGGAAGATGTGTCCGACGGGGTTAGCTGGTATTGCCCACAATGCTACACAAGAAAGAGCATCAGAAAAGCTAGCTTTTTTGAGAAATCACGACTCCCACTGCAGAAGTGGGTGATACTAATGTACATGTGGGTCAGGCAATACCCAGTCACAGATGCCTGCGAAGAGGCTGAAGTCGGGGAGCATACAGCCATTGACATCTACCAATGGCTGCGGGAAGTTTGCTCCCAGGCCCTCTTGAATGGTCCACCAATAATACTTGGAGGCCAGCAGACAGTGGTCGAGATAGACGAAAGCCTCTTTCGCCACAAACCAAAAGTAAGAAAAATGTAAAATTAAGCATGATTTATTAAAAAAGGCTTATTACACTGTAGCACCATCGTGGCAGAGCAACAACTAGAGAGGTGTGGGTGTTTGGGCTAGTGGATACATCCCACACACCGGCATTAGGCTACATGGAAGTGGTACAAAAGAGAGACGCAGCGACCCTACTCCCGATTATAGCAGCTCACACAGCTCCTGGTACAATAATCCATTCGGATCAGTGGGCAGCATACAGAAGAGTTCAGGCCCTTCAGAATGTTGCTGCACATGGTGTGGTAAACCACTCCCTCAACTTCGTAGAGCCGGTGACAGGCGTCCATACTCAACATGTGGAGAGTTATTGGTGTCGTGTGAAGACCAAACTGAAGCGCATGCGAGGATGCCATGCCCACCAACTCCCAAGCTATTTGGATGAGTTCCTATGGAGAGAGAGGTTTGGGCAGACTGCTAGAGATGCACTGCATAACGTAATGATGAACATAGCTCAGCAGTACCCTGTGTGAGGACTATGAACAGAGCAAACATCTTCTCATATTAGCCTTGTACTAACGTTTCTCCGCATTATGTAGCTGTATTCCGCTGATTTATATCCTCACCCTTCCGGATATCCATCTTTTCATCAGTCTTTGGTCCTTATATCCGGTCTAGATCTCGTTTTTTTCACCATTCCCTGCACTTCTATCCAATGGCTGTGGAGGTCGTCGTTCTCGGAGCGTGCATTATGTAGAATGAACAAGCGCACGCGCGTAGAGCAGTACTCCAGTATTTCGTGTATGGTGACGTTTTAGCGCATGCGTTTAATAAGGTTGTAATTAGTGGGTGTAGCTGAGTGGTTTAAGCGCATGCGCCAACTTCGCAGACGTTCCTGCCGTTCTTAGCAGTTGATCCGCATGTCATTATGATGAAGACCACTAGTACATTCGGAACGGCTGCGATGATTTGCAGAGTGTATAGCATGCATAGGAACCACACAAGTCACATATAGGTATGTATGTGAAAACTACGAGGTAGAAAGGCAAAGGCACCAAACAATTCAACAAGGAAAAAAAGGAGCTGCCCTTAGATGGGATTCGAACCCACGACTAGGCGAGCGCTCTACCAACTGAGCTATCAGGGCAACTCAGCTAGTACGGGTTCGAATCTACAACACAATACAACTCAAGGGAAACCTCAAACCACTGTGCTATACTCTCACTTAGCATGTAAATTGCCTACTGCCACCAAAATGAAAAAAAATCACCACGAAAGAAGGTAATGTGCGATACTGGCTGGGTGAGCACTTATTAGAAGTGTACAGGGTGAATAAGCACGGTGAAGGTGAGTTGATAGAGAAAGAAACAATAGAAATGCAATAAAAAAAAAAAAAAACCGACGCTCACCGGATCATTATGATGATAGAACACCACGGGGGCATTCGGAATGGCTGCGATGATTTTTTCTCTCCACCAGTACAGTAGAAGCTTCTCTAGTAATCAGGGAACCTGAAGAGTGTATATGAAACATGCTGAATTCGGGTTTTGGCTCGTACTAGCAACGCCTTGTGGGGATGAATCTCATTAGTTCAGAACCACAAGTGCTGCGCCTGAGCAAAGCCTTGTGGGGATGAATCTCATTAGTTCAAAACCACAAGTGCTGCGCTCAACTTTGCCTTTATAGACTCGTGATGCCAGAGAGAGAAGTTGCGGTATGCTTTGCTGATGAGGGCCAAAAAGCCCGAAACAGCTGTCTAGAGCTCCGCATATTTTTTCTCTTGGCATCACATGGTCTATTGTTACATCACATCAACAAACTGTGAAAAAGCTCAGAAATTGCCACAGGCCTTTGATCTGTATCATATAAACTGTGTATGGGGTCACTTTGTACAGGTACGTTACAATTGCCTATAAGGAAATAAAATAACCACAAAACAAGGTAATGAATGTGGGCTAATGGCCGGGTGGGCACTTACTATAAGTGTAAAGTGTGCATCAGCATGGTGAAGGTGACTTGATGGAACCAGAGACAATAGAAACACAATAACAAAACAAACCACTGCTCAAAGGTTCATTATGATGCACTCCCAGTGGACCTCGGACTCTCCAAACACCTCGCTTGGAATGTCCATGCAGTGATGGTGATACCAGATGTGGCAAGAGTCACACTTGGCCATCTCATCGTGACAAAGACACACTCACCAAACAACTGAGATCCCAAATGTAGACAATAGGTACATAGCCTTCTTTGCAAGACTTCAGAAAGCCTAGAAAATAGAGAAGAGGAGATAGGAAGAATAACACAGAAACATGATATTAAATCAAAAAATTTGGCCCTATAAGTGAATATAGAATGTTGGCGAAAGTTGGAGAGCACAGGAAGTTGGACACAGACAATAATTGGAATACAGACTGACCTATCTATGGAGGCAATTTTTCATGGGGCACATTTGAAAGTATTGCTTACTGACATGGTTATGAGCATGCTCATGCCACATCAAGGACCCTACAGCTCTGCTTTTACTGCAGTAGTGAACACAGTGCAAGGAGCCGCTTCACCCCATCACCATTTCTTCAACGCCACGATCACCACTACAGTCAAAGTATGTATAGCGTCCGTGTTTCTTTGACCACTTGATACGCTTTTCCCCATCGGCAACACAATTCTTTTTCAGTTCTACTCTCCGTTTCTTCTTGGGAGTGGTCTTGGCCAACTCTAATTAACCCTCGGCGCGCATGCGCAGCGAGGGTTACTGTAGTTGGGTTTGTGTGTGTCTGTTACTCTCAATCTCACTTCTCGAGTGTCTGTTCATCTCACAAAGGATACGACCTACTTAACGGGCAATGAAGGTCAGAAATTTCGAACGGTTTTCTCTGAAAATGCTCTGTTGCAAAGCTAGAGCGCATCCGGCATTGTACGGCTAATGCCGGTAGACGCCATTTTATCGCTCCGGAAAAAACTAAACCCAGCCCATCAAATAGTGGTACAGCGCATGCGTTTACTTACGCGTGCATATCACAATGCGCCGAGGGTTTGCACTTCAGTGCTTTTCATTCTCTCTTCCTCCGTGCATTGTGCTTTTCCAGCGCCTCGACCATGCCTTAAAAACGGGAAGATTCATGCGTCGGTACAACTCTGGGAGCCAGTGATAACTAGTACCTAGCTTTGCATGCATGTAGGTCAGGTTGGCTTGGAGCAACCCGAGATTGGTGGAGAGTTGGTAGTGAAGCCTCTCCAAGTAGATATCCTTCGACCGGAATCTGATAAATACATTGTGAGAGGCTTCGACTGCATTAGAGTGGCCACATTTGAGGATGGGGTGAACCAGCTTGCTGGCCTGTGCAGCTCTCTCTGTGCATTCAATCTCATACAACAGTGCATGAAATTCACAATCCAGCTTCATTCTGGTTTTGTAAGGCTTTCCCTCACACTCTATTTGTTCCTTGTCCCTGCACTTTTTGCACGTGCACACCCGAAGTGGGTGGAAGTCACACCTTCCTCCCTCCCACTCGTGAATGTCACGTGCATGTTTAGGCAGTGCTTCCAGGCGTGTCACAAATTCTTCCTGCGATTGGGCCTCCATCAAAATGGAAGTGAAATTTGTGTGCGCTTTGGAAATAAAAGGTGGATTCAAACAACCGCATGCAGCACTGTGGTTGCCCCCATTGCATTTACAGCTCAGCTCACATAAAGCTGGAAAACTAGCCCTGTACTTATCCAACATTTGCTTTGAAGCTGTTTTCATTTTCTGGCGCAATTCCAGGATTTTCTTGTGGGCACGTCCGGCATGTCCACCGGAGATCATTATTTCGGCATCAGGAAACACTTCACTGATTGTGTTGGCCAAGGAGGAGTCAGCGTCCTGCCAGTGGACGGCAGCCTACATTCCCTCCTCTATGGCCCTCCGAAACCGAGCGGCATACCCTTCTGCAGATTTGGACGTGCCCTTGTACAACTCTTCCTTTATTATATCATCTCCGCCCCTTTGGCTGAGATGATGATAATAGAGGAGAGCCCCGTTTAGGTAGTTTCTGACGGTGAACGTGGCATTTTTGCTATGCCAGCCACGTGTTTGCCACGTACCATCAGCAACAGTAACCGCACGTTTCCATGACCCGAGCTCGTCTTCGTTTTTATCTTCCATTTCCTGTTTTGCTGACTCACACATTTCGTCCAGCATCGACTTGACTATGGGATACATATTACGAATCGTATCCATGAAAGTATTAGGACCTACGACATCAACGCCCGGTGCATGTTTCAGTGTTTTGTAGTACCCCATGTGAGTACTACCGGCAACAATGAAAGCAACCTGGACACATTTGCTTACTATATCCTTCGTACGTCCAGGTTGGTTCATACAGGTTTCAAAATATGCACCTCCTGACCCACACCCATCACAACGACAGGATACATAAACACAACCACCAAACCCTTTAGACATTACACAAGTAGGAGCTAAATTTCCATTGCACCCGGGGGTTTTGCAGCCCCTAACCTGATTGGTCATGTCTAAAAACTTGCCCACCTGAGGTAAGGCAAGGAAACACAACTTATTGGGCAAGTCAATGTAATTGACCTCCAATGGACGGTCAGGTGTGGGAAGGTACAGTGAGTCATCGTCAATTGCTTCTGACTCACTTTCCCAACCTTCCCCTGACTCACCGTCAGAACTACTAACAAAAATATATTTACTCTCACAATAATCTTTCTCAGAACATTTTTCTCCGGACTCCTGCGAGCCGCCTTCTTGGCACAAAGAGCCTAGAGGATAATAACATTTGCCTGCAACAAAAATTGAGGTACACATAGATGCACCTCACATGGAAGAGTGCAGAGTTCAATGGGATAAGAATCCCACCAATAACCACTTTCATGCAACAGTAGAAGGTGGAGGGCGGCACATACATATTTGTGGAAACCTCAAATCTGCTTCGCCAATGAAAGTGAGGACATGTATGTAGTCTATATGCAGCAAGCACAAGGACACCTACCACTTTGCTGCTGTCTACCAATGGCAGGCTGATGCAAAATTGTATGCTGACTGTAAGCGATATGTACTCTTGATATAACGTTCTTATGTTTACGTTTTAGAAGTGACGTTCTGTAATCTGATTGGGCTGCAAAAAACCTACAGCAGAGTACAAATTGCGATCAAGCTTGCCAACGCTTTGTGGGCCGCTCGTGGGTGTGGTTCCACCACCAGAGTACTCCCCCCCCTCTCCCTCCTTTCCTCCCTCTATTCCTCCCTCCTTCCTCCTCCATCCCTCCCTCTCCCCCACCCCCCTTCCAAGATTATAAGCAGTTCATGTTCAAATTGCCTGTTCTGTTCTCATGTCATATTGCACTTGCACCAAGCTATAATATGCACATATAACCAGTTGGCCAAGCTCTAGCCATCATTGTAAAAACTAATCCACACAGAACCTCGAGCTTAGCGCTGGTGGATGTGGCCCCGCCACACTAGGAGGGAGGAGGGAGGGTAGTCTCGTCCCCAGCTGCTCCACCCACAAGGGGAAGGAGCGTCTGGTAGCTTTTGACGAGACCAGAGGTAGGGATGGTTTTAGGACTTGCTCCAGAACATGCTCCACGTTGAATCGAATAGTAGGGTGTAAAACTGGATCTATACTTTGGCTTATAAACACACACAGAGACATACAATATTGTATACAGAGCTTTACTGCGCTATATGTATATAATGTACACGAAAGTTCAGAAGAGTGAGCCCTCCCATTAGTACGGGCGCAGGCGAGCGTATTAGCATGCCTTACTCTGTATTCGCCTCCTTGCCTGTGTGCTATACACGTACAGACTACCTCTAAACTCACCGAAAGCGCTCGACGAGTCCATCTGCACTCTCTCTCTTTCGAAACAAGTGCCACGTGCGTTATTTGTGCATATGCACATACGCATACCAATTTCACTTATGCATAATTCAGCATACACACGCGCACTGCGCTAGCTCTGACAAGCCACACCCTTCAGGCATGACATAATACTTCTTACGTCACCGATGGGAAGCTGGAGTTAGCATGCGCACAGGGTTAGTGCCACACCCTTTGGGTATGACCTAAATTTCCTTACGTCATTCATAGGAAGCTGGAGTCGCGTGCACACGGCCTACTGCATATTCATTACCGATGACGTTTGCCTACTGAAAGATTATTGAGGTGCTGCGGCGCTTACTGAGCATGCGCAGAGCCGTTTCTCCGCCGGTGCCGCATCGGAAGCCGCGAGAGACGTGCGGTTGAACTGAGCGCTGAGAGAGGAGTCGATTGAACCGCTTTTTGACTCTGAGATTTGAATTTCTCCCACGTATCATAATTACGGTATAATCTACTCATTCGGAATACCCTGATTACACCTGGTGATTGCTTTCGTTCTCTTATACGGCATGTGAGGGAAAATAAAGGAAAGCTACTCATTCGGAACACACCTGGTGATTGCTTTCGTACTTTTATACGGCATGTGAGGGAAAATAAAGGACAGCTACTCATTCGGAACACCTCGATTACACCTGGTGATTGCTTTCGTACTTTTATACAGCATGTGAGGGAAAATAAAAGACATTTACTCATTCGGAACACCTTGATTACACCTGGTGATTGCTTTCGTACTTGTATACAGCGTGTGAGAGAAAATAAAAGACATTTACTCATTCGGAACACCTTGATTACACCTGGTGATTGCTTTCGTACCTTTATACGGCATGTGAGAGAAAATAAAAGACATTTACTCATTCGGAACACCTTGATTACACTTGGTGATTGCTTTCGTACTTGTATACAGCATGTGAGAGAAAATAAAAGACATTTACTCATTCGGAACACCTTGATTACACCCTGTGATTGCTTTTGCACTTTTATACGGCATGTGAGGGAAAATAAAGTACAGCTACTCATTCGGAGCACCTTGATTACACCTGGTGATTGCTTTCGTACTTTTATATGGCACTTGAGGGAAAAATAAAGGACATCTACTCTTTCGGAATACCCTGATTACACCCAGTGATTGGTTTTGTACTTTTATACGGCATGTGAGGGAAAATAAAGCACAGCTACTTATTCGGAGCACCTTGATTACACCTAGTGATTGCTTTCGTACTTTTATACGGCATGTGAGGGAAAATAAAGGACAGCTACTCATTCGGAATACCAATTACACCTGGTGATTGCTTTTGTACTTGTATACAGCATGTGAGAGAAAATAAAGCACAGTTACTCATTCGGAACACCTTGATTACACCTGGTGATTGCTTTCGTACTTTTATACAGTATGTGAGGGAAAATAAAGGACAGCTACTCATTCGGAACACCTTGATTACACCCAGTGATTGGTTTTCTACTTTTATACGGCATGTGAGGGAAAATAAAGCACAGCTACTCATTCGGAGCACCTTGATTACACCTGTTGATTGCTTTCGTACTTTTATACGGCATGTGAGGGAAAATAAAGGACAGCTACTCATTCGGAACACCTGGTGATAGCTACTTATTCAGAATACCGATTACACCTGGTGATTGCTTTCGTATCTTTTATACGGCAGTGAGAGAAAGAGAAGAAATAAAAGACATTTACTCATTCGGAACACCCTTGATTACACCTGGTGATGCTTTCGTACTGTGTATACAGCATGTGAGAGAAAAATAAAAGACATGTTACTCATTCGGAACACCTTGATTACACCTTGTGATGCTTCGTACTTTTATACGGCATGTGAGGGAAATAAAGGACAGCTACATCATTCGGAACACCTTGATTACACCCAGTGATTGCTTTCGTACTTTTATACGGCATGTGAGGGAAAATAAAGGACAGCTACTCATTCGGAACACCTGGTGATAGCTACTCATTCAGAATACCGATTATATATACCTGGTGATTGCTTTCGTACTTTTATACGGCATGTGAGGGAAAATAAAGGACAGCTACTCATTCGGAACACCTGGTGATAGCTACTTATTCAGAATACCGATTATATACACCTGGTGATTGCTTTCGTACTTTTATACGGCATGTGAGAGAAAATAAGAAAATAAAAGACATTTACTCATTCGGAACACCTTGATTACACCTGGTGATTGCTTTCGTACTTGTATACAGCATGTGAGAGAAAATAAAAGACATTTACTCATTCGGAGAACCTTGATTACACCTGGTGATTGTTTTGTACTTTATACGGCATGTGAGGGGAAAATAAAGGACAGACTACTCTTTCGGACACACCTGATTACACCCAGTGATTGGTTTTGTACTTTATACGGCATGTGAGGAGAAAATAAAGAACAGCTACGTCATTCGGCGCACCTTGATTACACCTGGTGATTGCTTCGTAATTTATACGGCATTGAGGGAACATAAAGGACAGCTACTCATTCGGAAACACCTTGATTACACCATGTGATTGCTTTCGTACTTTTATACGGGCATGTGAGGGGAACATAAAGGACAGCTCTCATTCGACACCCCTGGTGATAGCTTCATTCAGATACCGGTATATATACCTGGTGATTGCTTTCGTACTTTTATACGGCATGTGAGGGAAAATAAAGGACAGCTACTCATTCGGAACACCTGGTGATAGCTACTTATTCAGAATACCGATTACACCTGGTGATTGCTTTCGTACTTTTATACGGCATGTGAGAGAAAATAAGAAAATAAAAGACATTTACTCATTCGGAACACCTGATTACACCTGGTGATTGCTTTCGTACTTGTATACAGCATGTGAGAGAAAATAAAAGACATTTACTCATTCGGAACACCTTGATTACACCTTGTGATTGCTTTTGCACTTTTATACGGCATGTGAGAGAAAATAAATGACAGCTACTCATTCGGAACACCTTGATTACACCCTGTGATTGCTTTCGTACTTTTATACAGCATGTGAGGAAAATAAATGACAGCTACTCATTCGGAGAACCTTGATTACACCTGGTGATTGGTTTTGTACTTTTATACGGCATGTGAGGGAAAATAAAGGACATCTACTCTTTCGGAACACCCTGATTACACCCAGTGATTGGTTTTGTACTTTTATACGGCATGTGAGGGAAAATAAAGCACAGCTACTCATTCGGAGCACCTTGGTTACACCTGGTGATTGCTTTCGTATTTGTATACAGAATGTGAGGGAAAATAAAGGACAGCTACTCATTCGGAACACCTTGATGACACCTGGTGATTGCTTTCGTACTTTTACATGGCATGTGAGGGAAAAATAAAGGACTTTACTCATTCGGAATACCCTGATTACACCCAGTGATTGGTTTTGTACATTTATATGGCATGTGAGGGGAAATAAAGCACAGCTACTCATTTGGAATACTTTGATTACACCAGGTGATTGCTTTCGTAATTTTATAAGGTATTTTGTACTTTTATACAGCATGTGAGGAAAATAAAGCACAGCTACTCATTCGGAATACCGACTACACCTGGTATCCTTAGGAGATAGCAGTGGATTTTGATGAAATTTATATGTATTATGATACTTTGTAGCTCACCAGTAGCAATGTTGAGCAGCTTGTGATACACGAGATACGGGCAATAGGTCCTGCAAAACCTAACAAGTTTTGCCTCTTTCAGCATCGGTAGAAGAGAAAGAAGGGGGGAAATGAGGAAGGAGAGAGTACGCAAAGATAGGCTAGCAATGCTCCAATCCACTCCCTTCCCAGCAATGCCCCAACCTACTCCCTTCCTCCCGGCTAGCAATGCTCTCCCACCCACTCCCCTCCCCTCCCTTCGGCTAGCAATGCTCCAACCCACTCCCCTCCCCTCCCTTCGGCTAGCAATGCTCTCCCACCCACTCCCCTCCCTTCGGCTAGCAATGCTCTCCCTCCCACTCCCCTCCCCTTGGCAAGAGAGTATCACAAAATACTAATAGTAATGACTTTCACTAAGGGTAAAGCTCTCTGCCTGGACTGCAGAGTGTTGTAGTTTTGAATCACACCCAGGGAAGCTCTTTTTTCATTGAATTCACCTGAGTATAGCTGTGTTGCTTGCCATTTGCATACAATAGTATGTTTCTACAACAATAACTAACCAACACAGTCAGTGTGGAAGATAAGAGAGAGAAGGATAGAGGACAGAGACCCTTATTTCTATGATCGTCTAGCACCACATGATCAGGGGGTTTCAAGCCGCGTTCCGTAAGTGATTCCATCACTGTCCTGCTCCAGCAACTTAGAAAGAGAGAGGAGGGGAGATGTTATAGCTCATGAAACACTGACTGCACATGTAGAAAAGACTGAAGCCAAACTGACATTACCCTCTCCCTCTATTCCCTCTCTCCCTTCCACACATGCAAAGAATGATCATTAGTTGGAAGACGAGTCACGCCACATTTACAACACCAGCCATACACATATTGGGCTCACTGTGAATAAACTACCGGCATTCCCTCCTTAGGCCTGTGGCTTGCTGTCCCGTGGTCAAGTGAACTCTAGCTCATCTCCCTCCTCATCTCCCTATGCAAAATCGAAACGGACGGGATGGCTTACCGCGGTCTGATCGATCCGCGTTCTCTGCGTACCTCTGAGGCACCAGAAGATGCAACGCAGGGCGTGTATCGCCTCTCGTATGCTATCTAGTAGTGTAGTTAGCCCGCGTCAGACTCTGCGCGAGCCTGCACGAGACCACGAGTAACAGCTAAAACTAAACCCAGCCATCAATTAGTGGGTCCGGCGCCGTGCGTTTACTTACGCGTGCGCGTCACAATACGCCGAGGGTTTGCACTTCAGTGCTTTTCATTGCTATAGGTAATAAAGTACTTACTAATTACCTTTGATAGATTTGTCATGCTACATTTCCATGGAGTGCGCATTTAGGTGGAAGTGTAATCAGCTGACTATGACATTGGATACACATGTATATACATGGAACATGCAAAAATTGTGTAACGCAAGAAAATAAAAATTAAAGTAGTATGCAAGTTTGGCTGATATACTCACGAGGAAGTAGTAAAGCACCGATACGACGATATAGGGCTGTTGTAATGAATTACCTGTGGGAGTCCTAACTCCTCGCTAGCATCTCTGTGCTTCCACAAAAACCATCCCTATCTTGTCTCCCTTTCTTTTTTTACGATCCCTATATGCACTCTTTTTAAATTCGCAGGATTTTTAATTTACTTGTCTCCACTCATTTTTATAATTATACTACTATGTATTATCTCTGTGGAAGAGGGCAAGCCCCTATAAAAAATTTATAATAGAGAAAAAATGCCTGTTGTCGTCATGGAAATGATATGCATACAATGTTTAATCTCCATGTGTGCAGCCATTAGCAAGTTTAAGGAGTGAAGAAGTAATTTTAAAGAAAAGTGGCTGAGGCTATTTGTTGTTGTGGTCGTCATAGAAACGATGTAATACACATGCGCACCAAGTGTCACCTCCAGTTAGCGAGTTTGGGGAGTGAAGAAGTAATTATTTAAAAAGTGCCTGAGGCTATTTGTTGTTGGAGTTGTTATGGAAATGATGTAATACACATGCGCACCAAGTTTCACCTCCATGTGTGCTACAGTTAGCGAGTGAAGAAGTAATTTTAAACAATAGTGCCTGGGGCTATTTGTTGTTGTAGTTGTTATGGAAATGATGTAATACACATGCGCACCAAGTTTCACCTCCATGAGTGCTACAGTTAGCAAGTTTTAGGAGTGAAGAAGTAATTTTAAAGAAAAGTGCTGAGGCTATTTGTTGTCGTGGTCGTCATAGAACAAACGATGTAATGCACATGCATACCAAGTTTAATCTCATGTGGTTCGGGACGAGCGAAGTTGAGGAGGAGAGTGAGAGTTGAGAAAGAAGTAAGTAAAGTGCCTGAGGCTGGGCTATTTGTTGAACTGTGTGTATTATGAGATAAGGGACACACAAAAGCGGTGCATGAAACTATACAACAACACATTCTTCAACAGTACTACCCTGTGTGTGAAACTGCTCACATCCACCCACTATGATGATCTTGTCAGGTGATGGACTGGCTACTAAACACATTCTTCTACCACTAGGCATAGAGCCAATCTCCACCACTGTCATGCCATTAGCTGTCGTGAATGGGGCGGACTAGTGACCCATGATCCCAGCACAATGAGTACTAGCTGTCCACGGGCGAGTGCCAGCTGTTGAGTCTTCCACTGGAAGAGGAGGGAGAGGTTTCCAGGGTAGGATGAGAGGTGATGTGATTGGTTGATCACTGGATGGTAGCGCCGCAAGAGAACACGAGGAGCCATTAGCTTCAGTTCCTATCACATGCAACTCATCACCACATATTGTGGCTGAAGGGAAGTCGATAGGTTGTGGTAAGTCAGTTAGTGGTACAGCCTCTGCTCTTCACTGGAAATAGTCAACGTAGCGGTCCAACCACGAAACAGCGAAACCCCACCCCCCAATGCGCAATGAGGTATTGCTATCAGATGTAGTAACTACAGCAGTTTGGGAACGTGCAGTGTTCATTGGAGGGTATTTCTCAACCCATTTCCTCTGTCCTAGTGTGCATAGTTTGTTAGTATGACGATATCCATCATGTCCCCCCACAGCAGTTAGTTCCCTGTCAATAAGGACTAGTTCAGAGTTCTGATATGGACATGAAGGAAGTTCCTCCCATTTCCCTGTACTACATTTATATTGGTGGACTGAGGTGGAGGCATCTGGGGTGAAGTATGCAAATAGACAATCAGTTGTTGCAGATCCTCTGACCATTTCACATGGTGCTGGCTTATTACGATGACACTGCACAGTGAGCTGAGGGGAGATCACATGACATGTAATGACATCATAATCATCAAACCAGGACCTCAGAATATAACCTGCATACATGTGTGCAGTTTGCACATGTGTCATGCAAATTTGATTTGGCGTAAATAATAATTATCGATTACAGGCTAGGCAGCTAGTTTACAGGCCCACAATTCACCCTCCATACATTCTCCAGGGAAGAGAAAACAAGTGCGTGACTTCACTCTGTCTCTTATGGGTGGTACGACCAGCTGTGCATGTGGCAACTTTCAGTGACTCTGGCTGAGTCTCAAATCTGATTATTTTCCACGTGCATAAACTTTTTACCCTTCTTACCCTTCGGCACGCATGCGCAGCGAGGGTTGGGTTTGTGTGTCTGTCTGTCTGTTACTCGTCATCTCACTTCTCGAGTGTTCGTTCGTCTCACAAAGGATACCACCTACTGAACGGGCAATGAAGGTCAGAAAATATGTGTGGTTTTCGCTGAAAACGCTCCGTTGCCAATCTAGACCGCGCAAAAGCCAATATGCAAATACACAACGGGCATGATCGATCCGCGTGCTCTGCGTACCTCGGAGGCACCAGAAGATGCAACGCAGGGCGTGTATCGCCTCTCGCATGCTATCTAGTAGTGTAGTTAGCCCGCGTCAGACTTTGCCAGCTCGCGCAGTCTGACGCGGGCTACTAGATTGCATGAGAGAGGCGATACACTCCCTGAGTTGCATCTTCTGGTGCCTCCGTGGTACGCAGAGCACGCGGATCGATCATGCCGTAGTAAGCCGTTGTGTATTTGCATATTGGCTTTTTCCCGCTCTAGCTTAGCAACGTAGCGTTTTGAGAGAAAACCGCACATATTTTCTAACCTTCATTGCCCGTTCAGTAGGTCGTATCCTTTGTGAGACGAACGAACACTCGAGAAGTGAGATGACGAGTAACAGACAGACATACGTACACACAACCGTAACCCTCGCTGCGCATGCGCGCTAGGGTTAATGACAAGGTAAGATAACGTAATGAATATATACAAGTGCAAACCCTCGGCGCACTACGCATGCGCGGTATCGCTAAATTGATGGCCAGGCTAGAGTTACTCATAGAGTGTAGCTCGCGGAGAGTCTTACACGGGCTACCTACACTAGTAGATTGCATGCTGGAGTCGATACACGCCGCCTGTTGTAACTTATTGTGCCTCCAAGGTATGCGGAGTAGGCCGATCAGTTCGAGGTAAGCCAGCGTGATTATGAATATTGGCTTTTTCGTTTGTTTTTGACGGCATATCTCTCGAATACAGTCGTTTCAGGAAAACCGCCTAATTAATTATCAGGTTTGCGTAGTTCTGAAGCCGTTGGTATCGCTGATTGGCCACCTCGTAGCCTGTAGTGCCAGAATAAGCGTCGACACACACACACACACACACACAGAAAAACCAACTACTGTAACCCTCGCTTCGCATGCACGCCGAGGGTTAATAATTATGGTACCGTAGAAGGCAGAGAACACCACTGCACATAATGGCGATGGAACCATTTTGTGTCATGTGCCAAGTTGTGAACTGAGTTATTCATTCTCTCCCATAGTGTATGTATGTGCACTGGAGTGTATGAATAAGCCATACAACTAGTCACCAACACAATCAGTAAATTTCTAGGCATTTCTAAAGGCCTCAGGATACTCTACCAAAGTTGCCTACCTTTCGTGGTTTAACTACAGGTGGTGTGGCATGGGGTACAGCTGTTGCTAGGGGAGCAGGCTGACAAAAGAGGGTGGAAACACAGAGCAATATTGACTCATAACCAATGAGTAAAGAATTGTTTACCTTTGTACTCTGAGTCTCAGAGTCTCTCTGCTGGAGGGCCTTCTGGAAGTCAGCCACTAGAGCCTCAATTGATTGCAGTTGTTCCTCCTGCAGTCAGGAGGACCTCTAGTCACAAAACATGACACATCCTGCAGTTATCACTATTCACCTTCAGTCTCAGTTGCTGCTGAGTCTCAACTAACTCTCTCTCCATCCTTGTTAGCAATGACGCCTTCTCTCTTAGCTCCCTGTCCTTGGCCTGCACTAACTCAGTCTCCTGCAGTCAGGAGGACCTCGTTACACTGCATTAGTTCCACACAGACTTCACTAACTCTCTGTCTCAGTTCTTGATTCTGTCTCTGTGAGCCGATCAGCTGTTGCCTGACTGTCTGTTTCTCTCTCTCAGTGGATTCTAGTTGTTGCTTGAGCTCAACGATCTCCTTTAGTAGCGACCCTTCATTTGAATATTATATGACTGAATAAAAGGTCCCTCACCTGGTTCTTGGATTGTAGTTGTTGCACAACAATCTGTTTCTCCCTTTCACTGGACTGTAGCAGTTCCTCCTGCAAAAATAGAGAGCTGAGAGTGTTTTAATGCCACATAATACCACTTGCACCATTCACCTTCTGTCTCAGTTGGCCCTGGGCCTCAGCTAACTCTGCTTCCTTTCTCCTCAGCTGTCCCTCTTGCTCAACATTTTCCTAATAACAAACACAAGTCAACTGTCAACACTCTCTCACTACAGCACACACAGTCCCTCACCTGGTTCCTGGGCTGGGTCTGAAGAGCTCGCAACAGCTCCAGTTTGTTCATGTCGGTCTGCTCGTCTCTCACTTCAGCTCTGGCCTCCTCCAACAGACGCAGCACCTCACGAATGCTCGGCCGGTCTTCAGGGAAGTTCAGACACCCCTCGATCATCTGCAGGAGAGGATGCTTCTCGCGTAGCTGCCTGTAGATCATCCTCATGTACCCCTCTCGTCGCTCTAGTTCAGTTCGACCTACTATTGTTTGTTGTTCGTCACGATAGCTGGCTGCTAGCAAGTCGCAGGGAAAGGTTTGGCAGAGTGTGAAAATGGCCATGACACCAAAAGAGAAGATGTCGATGCTTGCATCGTACTTTGACTTTTTGTCTTTCTCTTCCTCTTTTTCCTCCTCAAGTTTGTTTTCCATGGCCTCTGGAGGCATGTAAATTATGGCCCCAGGTCCCTTTGTCATGGTGGCTGCAACTCGCATACGAGGCACGATACGAGCCACTCCCAGGTCCGCTATCTTGGCCACCATCCCCGAGTTCAGGAGAACGTTTCTGGCCGACAAGTCGCGGTGGATGATGGGCGGCGATCGCTCGTGGAGGTAGGTCAGGCCGCACGCCACGTTGTGCAGGATCGAGCACTTTAGGCTCAGCGGGAAGGAGGGCTTGGGCGCGTGGGGCGGGGGAGGGGTATCGGTTTCTGGTTCCAGCAAGTCGTGAAGACTCGTCAGCAGTCGCTCCATGACGAGGGCCGGCAGTCGCGAGCCAGGTAGGAAATACAAACCAAGAAACTGGACGATGTTCGGGTGGCGGAGGGTGCTCATCAGCTGACATTCCTTCGCGAACTGGGCGGCCCACTTGTGGATCTCGGCCGCAGGGATCTCGGAGTGGTCCAGGAAGACTTCGTGGATCCTTTTAGCTGCGCAGATGGCTCCAGGCACGGCCACCTCCTCCACGCTGCCATAGGCTCCGGCGCCGATTCTGACGCCAGTTAGCCGTACATTGGAGAGAAGAAACTGCCGCAGCTCTGGGTTGCCACGAAGCAACTCCGCCATTGCTCAAACTATTCAGGGTGGGGCCGCGTTTCCCTTGAGATGATGCATGCATATAATTATTGCAGTTGTGAATGTCATTTCACTGAAGGTAATACTCAACATGGAAAGGGAATAAAAGATGCTAGACAGCCATGTCCATGTGTATCTTGGTAGTCATGGAGAATGATGTCATCGTAAACAAACTTGTCGATGTCGGAGACCTGTCTTCTCAGTTCCAGTCTCGGGAATGGTCTCGGGCTCCGCTGCAGCTGGGGAAAGGAATGGGGGAATGACACACTGCCCCTCTCATTACCATGGTCTTATTATTACTACAAATTCAATGAGAGTCTGTTTAGCAAGTTTTGGTACGTTCATTATACAGTGGAACCCCTCTAACCCTGACACTGTTAGGGAGAAGAAAGTAATGTCCGCATTTCAGTGGTTAAATTGCATGCAAGAACTGTTACTGTAAGTGTCTGTATTTGCAGGTGTGTCCTTAGAGATGGATGAGTTTACTGTTATTACCCACAAACCTGTATAGTGAGGGGTTGGATGTGGTTGAGGTAGACATGTGCGTCTGTTAGAGTATGTACAAAGTCTCCCGGCTGGAGAGGAAGTTAATTATGGTGATATCATAGGTTAATGAGGGGTGTGTGTGGCTAACCTTGAGGTTGCAGATGAGGGCTATCATATATGTCAGTAGAGAGTAGCTGGCGATGTTGAATGGAACTCCAAGACCCTGGGTGGAGGAGGAGGCAATGAGAATAGTTGGTTGTGGGGAAACTTGAGGCATATTCCACCTACTTTTGTGCGAAGTGGTTTGTTTTGACTTAAAACTACAGTAACTTTTCTTACAATGGAAGTACTACATTTCATACCACCAAGTGCAACTGTTTTAACGTTGCAGCAAAATTGGGCAAACATTCAGACCTTTCTTGCCACTACATACAGTTAGCAACTGCAGTAAATCCCCTGAGATAAGGGGACATAAAAAATTGTCAGAGGTGCTTCAGGGCAATACAAGTATATGCCAAGTATCCTCTAGTGAGAGGTGTCATTCATTATGAGGTGTATTTCCACTGTAATAACTGAGAGAAGGGAAGTGCTGGAATACCATGTCTGCTGATCTCTGGTATACTGGCGTAGAACTGGACAAAGGCATGGCAGGGAGGCAGGGCCATCTCTGGTCGGTCTGGGGGGAAAGAAAGAAAGAACAAAATGAAATGCAATAAAGTGCAATTGATGGGGTGGGCTATTAGTATGTGCCGAGAGTTAAACACAGCTAATAAAACCAATGAAAAGCACTGAAGTGCAAACCCTCGGCGTACTGTGACGCGCACGCGTAAGTAAACGCATGCCCGCCGTACTACTAATTGATAGGCTGGATTTAGTTTTAGCTGTTACTCGTGGTCACTTGCCAGCTCGCGCAGTCTGACGCGGGCTACTACACTACTAGATAGCATGAGAGAGGCGATACACGCCCTGAGTTGCATCTTCTGGTGCATCCGAGGTACGCAGAGCACGCGGATTGATCATGCCGTAGCAAGCCGTTGTGGCTTTTCGCTGAGCTAGGCTTCCTTCATAGCGCATCGCTAGCCTCCTTTGTACGTTGTATGCCCTCACGGCCACGGAATCCAGTCGAGGTAAGCCTGTGCTAATTACCATATTGGCTTGTTTATTTGGTTTTCACGCCATAACTCTGAACACTGTATTATTAACCCTCGGCGCGCATGCCCTAGAGGGTTACTTGGTTCGTAAGTGTGTCTGTCTGTCTGTTACCACGTTTTCTGCCACCATACGCAAGGAATCGGCCAAAGAGCGATAGTGACGGGTTCAGTGCTACACTGGCTTAATTTTTAAAAATGCGATTTTCGTAAAACTACAGAACACAATAGTTTTACGAAAATCGCCTTTTTTAAAACTAAGCCAGTGTAGCACTGAACCCGTCACTATCGCTCTTTGGCCGATTTCTTGCGCATGGCGGCAGAAAACGTGGTAACAGACAGACGGACAGACACACTTACGAACCAAGTCGCATGCGCGCCGAGGGTTAATAATACAGTGTTCAAAGTGGGAGAGGAAGATGAGAGAGACGAAATACTAAAGTGGCAGACCCTCGGCGAACTGCGCATATGCGATAGCGGTAGTTAATGGGCTGGGCTATTAGTATGCTCCTAGGGTTAATGATGTGTAACAGCAGCCAATAAAACACAGATAATTTGCCAATACAAGGAGTGATGAGAGAGAGATGTTACCACGAGGGTTCCAGGTAGACATGATGATTCTCCTGTCATTTGGGTTAGTCCTGTTGTCTGGATCACCTGACCAGACAACAGAATTAGGTATAATTACTTTTGTCTTGCACAACACACACAACACATACTGAAACACTAGTAGTTTCTAAAGATCTACTCCATTTTATAGCAAATGCTCATTTGTAATTTAAGCATACGGTTTACGTACTACTTTGCCATTCACATTGAAAATTACACCCACTGAATGCTGAAGTACCGCTAATTGATGGGCTGGGCTATTAGTTTCGTGGTCGCCTGCTAGTATCTCGCAGAGAGTCTGACACGGGCTAGCTACAGTAGTAGATAGCATGCGAGAGTCGATACACACGCTTCGTTGTGACTTCTTGCATGCACGCTGAGGGTTAATAACACCCACTGAAGAGGTGTGCTTAACAGCCTCTTTTGTTACGGAAAGAAGATGTACTCAATTATAAGCACACAGTGTGTATACCTGAGCCAGTTGGTCCACCCCCTGACCACTGTAGCCAGTGTGCATATGCACATACTTGGCTCCAAAATGTTTCCACTGAAACCCATACACTGGACCCAGATCCTCAGTATGGAATGGAGACATCAATCATACACATAACTTCATCAGTACCTGATTCATAATCATTCGTTATTAATGTAGAAATTGTTAAAACTGTCCGTCAGACCGCGAGGTCTGATTCGCGCAGGTCAAAACCCGGGGTATCACCGCGGAAAGGATGAAATTCGAGTACATCATCGTGTCACTCTCACCCGAATATGCTAGAGGTCGGGACCTGATACTATACCCGCCAGACACTCGACCGTACGACTCCCTTCGCGAACAGCTCGTCAAGCGCACAGGGATTTGAACAATTACGCACAGAGGTAAAACGACTGTCGGACAAGGTTGCCACCCTGTCTACTCAAGAGAGACACTCTCGTCGCATATACAATATCTGCAGGCCTTCAGTAAAAATTTGTGGGATAAGATGACTTCATTACACTCCATTTTTACCCTCAAAGTTTCCTTCACTACGGTATATACATTTCTTATGATTGTGAAGGTCATGTGACCCACCCTCTTCTCTATGATGTAATCCCCTCTTATCGAGGAAGTCACGTGACCCATTGGCGTCCCAGATCTTGATGTTCTTCTGGGATAGGTGTTTGGCGTTAGGTTCCCCAGAGATGAACCACAGCAGCTCTTCGACCACGCCCCTCCAGAACACTCGCTTTGTAGTCAGCAACGGGAACTGGTCACGCAGGTTAAACCTGTTTGGGAGAGGAGCGACGGAGGTTTCCTTAAGACTTCATTGGGGATTGGAAAATGAGGTGGGAGGGACATAGTGGAAAAGCTGAAAGTTTGGGGAAAAGCTAAAGTTTAGAGTAAGATACATAATTCAAGATACAAAGTTTTTTCTTGTCCCAAGTAACTGTTGCTACATTACACATACATAATGTAGATATATTGGGATAATCTAATAATAGTGACCTCATCTGTTCTCCAAATATGGACCTGGTCCCCACGCCAGTCCGATCCCCCTTCTCCTGTCCGTGTTCCAGGATGGTCCTGATCAGATCCAGGTACTGGTGTTCGTCATGACGACGGGGGGAGAGGGCTCTGGGGACCGAGACAACTGCTGGCTCTGCTGTGAGAAGAGAGAGAGGTTATAAATTTTCATACATATTTTTTTGGGATTTGTTCAGGGATTCTGGTGTTCCTATTAACCAGAACTAATGGAAATATTTTTACTGCGAGAACACACGAGAGTCACTCACATGCAAGCAGCATACACTGATTGCAAATGCATCCACGTTCATTTAGAATGACGTAGTACATTACGGTAATGGTGGTAACATCATAAACGAACAGAAAATTTGTGTAATTGAGATGACTAGCGGTAGTCTTCATCTTGTCAGGAGGAGAGGAGATGACATTAGCCAGAGACGACACGTTCTCTCCCACCTCCATACTGTCTAGCAACCACCTGGCAATTGAGAAAGAAAAAAGGGAGGGAGATCAGAAAGGAAAATAGAAACCCCAGGCCTAACTTACCTAAAAAAAACGAAAGAGATAAGGCGAAACGATGATAAAGACAGCGGGAAAGAAAACTCACGCACGACCGAGACGCCAAAAAGTGAGAAAATTGCCACCCTTTGTTTACATGTCGGTTTCCCGCCAGAAGTTCCCGCCAAACTGAACGCAAACTGCGCGCTATTTAGAGAATCGATAGTGCGCATGCTCCAACCACGTTTTGAACTCTCTACCAATTCTCGCCAGACGACGACTGGTGGAGTTAGCGGCGAGGGAGAGGGAGAAAGGGATGGAGAGAGAGGAGGAGGACACAGGAAAATGGTGGCTGCTCTCTCTCACATCTTGTCTTCTACTGAGGCCGGGAGAGTGAGTTTTTTTGCACAGGTCACGTGAAACTTAGTAACTAGAATAGAATAGAAACCCTTTGGAAGTGTATTTATTCGGTCACTAATGTATTAGTATGGGGTAGGAGTAAGTGTCCTTTATAAGGAGGTGTCATTTATTCAGAGTGTCCTGTATTCTGTATTTTGAGAGAGGCTTTGTGTACTCACAGCATGCCGCGGGAGACGGTGAGATGGGAAGATGAGTCAGAGATGACGGCAGTCCACGGTGAGGAAGAGAGAAGACAGCAGCAAATGTAAGTGACCACCATATAATACAGCAGAATCTCCAATAAAGTACACTGTCAATAGAGGACACAACACAGAGAAACTCTCAATAAAGGACACACTTTAGGTCCCAAACGTTCGTTCACTTTTCAAAAGAGAGAAAAAGAAGGACAAAACGGCTTGTTCCGTGTACTTTATTCGGAGGTTCCACTGTATCATACACAGGTAAAGATGTTGTAAAAACAGACCCTCACTTGTTACAAACTTTCAGATTGAAAAACACTTCTTCCACCAATTTCATTGGCAGACTCTGGATGTCGTCAGTACTGCTGGTGATGCCGTGCCCAGTTGCCGACGGTTACCAGATACATCGACGCTTGACTGTGAATGCAGACTCCCGAAGATAGCAACTAGTGGTGGTGAGTGAAACCCCTACTCGTTACACAATAGAAGAAAAAAATAAAAATTTTGGCAGTGGGTCAATAATGTAGCTTTTATCGATGTTAAAATTGATACTTTGCCAACTGAAAAGCTCCCAAATGTGTCCAGTGTGTACTTTAGAAGTCATAGAAAACCTCTCTTCAAACATTCCAGTTGTACACTATACAGACGCGCATACAAACACACATGCAGTACAACCTTCACTGCACGTGCATGTCAAGCCTAAACCACTGTTTTATTTATCTTTTTTTTCTTCTACCCTCCTTGCTTTCAATTGCATTAAGTTCTTTGATGGCTAGCCAACTCTCCCCACACATCCAATGTCACAGACTCTCGTGTAAAATCTGCAGCTTACAGTACTGTATTGAAGTAGTTACAATCACATACCAGGCTCTCTGACTTGCAATCCTATGGGTCTACTAATGCACGTGGGGTATTGTTATCTGGGACGTTGTGTGTCGTAGGTATGGAATATCCTAAGGGAGAAGCGAGCTTGTTACTCCACGGCTGTTTCACGTAGGACATTTAGCGCTAATTTAGAACATTACGGTATGACCGTTACCTTAGTTACGGGGCTCGCGCAAGATTCGGAAGTTAGTCGCGGTTTCGGGAAGGAAGCTTGGGGCCTTCGTTGGGCCGCAAAGCTTCCTTTGTTACATTCCACACATTCTCAGATAGCCAGAGTGGTCTCTCTAGAAACCATAACACAGAACGGCGCAGCGCCCCGACACTGTTACCGCAGGTGCGCACGCACAAACTCGCGGTACTGCAGAACAGCTGGAAGGGAAGGTCCTTCGTGTTTACTCACTCTGCCGTGATAGGGAATTTTCCCCTGGGAAGCCCAGTGTAGTGAAACCACAGCTGAGGAATCCCCACGTAAGTTAGTGCGGACTAGAACCAGCTTGCATTTTTGGAGAAAGAAACATCATTAAAAATATACATAAATTACGGAACATGACGATCTGAAGGGCATGCGTTTCCATTACACTCACTCTTCCCAACACTGTCGTGTATGTGGGAAGCACTGCAGTAGTAGGGAGAGCAAGTACAGTGTTAGAGCACACACATCAGCTCTTCGCTGGCTAGTCTACGGTGTCTTGGCTGAGAGAGATGATCCTGCGATTCACCCGCCAGAATTCTGCCATGCGTGCTACTGCAAAATGAAGAGAGAGACGTCCAATGGGGCCCCCAACAATGTCCAGAGCACATATTTGGAACAAACACACTCCAGAAAACTGGCAGTAAGGACAGTATACACAGTATGTATGTACACGAAAAAACTGTTCTAAAATAGACATGCAGCCACTTCCGTGGGTCACGACAGGTCGGCAGACCGAGAAAGAGGAGCAGTGAGGGTTGCCTGGGGCCACGGCAAAGATTGGTGAAGACAATTTCCCAACTTGGTCCACCGCCTACTCACATCACCCAGAAGCTTTGGGAGTACATCCTCCCACCTCACACTCCTTTCACACTCGGTGACAGTGAGTCGTCCACTGTGTCTGGCGTGGTATTAGTCATACCTCTGCAACTCCATGTGGATCACACTGCTGCACATCATGTGTCTGTGCGTGGGTGCAATGCACCATCACACTGGATCCTCTTCTATGTCCTTGCTGCATCCGGTCACATGCCTGGACACCGCCAGATCTAAGGGCTGCTCTCTGCTGCATGCTGAGCTGAAGCTCCTCGCACGTCACTGCCAGCGCCGCCGCTGCAGGAGGTGTGGGAAGAAAGTAGTTGGAGCAGCCGACGCATGCACTGCCACAGACCTTGAGAACGTGGCTGCAAGCACTACACCTGCGTTGACACGACCCAGCCGATCCCACTCTTACATTACACGCCGCTCCTCCTGACAACATCCTCACTCGAGCAACAGAGGCAGGGTGAGATGAGAAAGCACCTTCTAGTGGGTAGATCATCAATCTTACATTGATAGCCAGCACCTGGAAAAGGGTTCCCAGAGCGGTTGCGGGATGGGGACGTCAGATGTCGCACCCAGACATCGTCGACAAGACGCACACAGGCCCTCATGAAGTGCTGAGAGATAGCTCAGGTGAGGATACCACAACAGCTGCAGCTGACAGTGACATGAGGTTGGGCCAAGGCCAGCACAGAGAACAGCTGAGCACGATGCTGGATTCTCGTCCATGTTCCTGTCAGGTAAGGTCAGGAGCTATGGCTTAGAATCAGGTTACATGCTATAGGTCAAGTGGTTTTGCAATGAGGTGCGACATCGGCCCTCCCATCGCAGTCAGTTGCCGACAGCTTCCCGACGACACGATGAGCCCCAACCTCTAAGTAGTAAACTGCGTATAGCAGATTATAGTTAATAATATATATAAGTGCTGAGATATGGTGGACGTAACAGATGAGGGAGAGAAGAAACAAAGGAAAGGGGTCCAGCGTAAGTGGTAGAGAGAAAGTGAAGGAGAAGTGCTCCCTATTCTTCTTCCCAAACGAGGACATACTGAAGACCGAGCCGAACTACGGCATCAGCCTCTGGTTTATCGTGACAGGACTGCAGGACCACTGCTGCAATCTGCTGGATGTAACAACCAGTCAGTTGCCAAGCCATTACATCCCTCTTGTCGGATCACATGGGCGGCACAGAGGCATACCGGAGGGAGAGGTTGGGTGATGAAGTGGAGCGCGCGGCGACAAATCGGGGCCGCGGTTCGCTGTCACTCGAACGCGTTCGGCACAGTTATGCAACGTTTTGCGTGCCACACCAACTCACCAAAGGGTTCACGCATTTGAAGCACCTGACACCTTCAATCTCCATATAGTCCTTGAGCGTTATATAAGGAGCAGGTGATCCAGTTCCAATCACTGACCTGGAGGTATATACAATATCCAATAAAAATGTCCTTATGTACGTACATACATACATACTTACAGTGGGAAGAGAGTGAGAGTCTTCCTCAGTGGGGATTATGAATTCCTTTGCCGGATGTATGGTCTCTCTGGGGCTTCAGGTTAGACTATTGGATCTATTTGGTTAAGAGTAACCAAAATCAATGTAGGTCGTCACTGCTGTCTCTGGTGTGAAATATCCAGTGACCAGCTAAGGACACCACTCCACCCCAGCTACGGACCTTGGACACCTTGAAGAGGGATCACCAGCAGTTCCTACTGAGTGGTGGGAACATAAAACATGCCAAGAAATTCAACAATGTCATACAGCCACACATGTGGGATACAAATAGACCAGGTATTATAATTATGTACCACTTGACGATGGATCTATTTTCAGATATGTTTACCTGCACTACACATAAGCCTGGGAATATTCTATCGCCTGTACACACTACTGGAACAGGCAGCTCACAGTTAGATTTGCAATGGCACAGGAGAGGAGCGGTGGAGAGCTGGGGCGGTGAAACGTTGGCGAGTATAGGCAAAAAATTGAGGAAAACTCCACCAACTCACCGAGGAGAGAGATGCCACGTGCAGGCCATAACAGCGCTAGAGGAGTTGGTACCAAGAATGGCTTTAACAGCCACTTCCGAAGATTCTGCGCGTGCACAGATCAACTATGTTGAACAGGGCATTACTGAGTGCAGGAAGAAGGCACACGAACTGGTACGATGAAAATAATATACATAAGATAATTCTATACATATTATACATAATAGGACAGAGAGATTGATAAGGTCAAGAGTGACATAGAGGAAGGCTTCAGGATGGAGGAAGGTCCTTTCATCATAGGCCTCGACAGAGCTCTCAAAGGCTTCAATGTCCAACATGAAGCCTACTATGGTGGGACATTTGTAGGCAACCATGTTCATAGGTGTCTCAAGGTAAACATACACATAATCATTGCTTGACGTAATATCACACTCTGCATCTAGGCTGAAAACATCAACACACTGTGTCAATCTGTGGTGACAGTGGCAGAGGAGTGCCCACCCCTTTTGGAGTCGGCCACAGCTGTCTGTCGACAATTCGTTGACACTTTTACTTTGTTTGCAGCATGCCACAACAAGTACAGCAACAAGTACCTCTCAGAAGCAACGATATCAACTCTTGGTAAGTTTGTTTTTCAGGAATGGATGCAAGGAACGTAGTATTCAATCTGCAGAAACAGACATAAAGACCTTCCTTCAGCACTACAGACAGACATACCCACATGCAACTGTGACCCCCAAGCTTCATCTCCTTGAGGACCACATGGCACCCCTGGATCAGGAAGTGGGGTGGAGTTGGATTCGGGGTAATGGGCGAGCAAGGGGCAGAGAGCATCCATTCCGAATTCAATAGGATAGAGCAAAGGCACCGAACCCAGCGCCACGACCGCGTGGAGAGGCTACGACGGGTAGTTACAGAGCACCTTCTGAAAAGCCTACCCAGTCATGTCGCCGCACAACCCCCTACAAAGCGCAGGAAGATCGCCGAAGAGTGACAGCTACACATACACATTAGCTACGTTATCAAACTTACATGAAGAATTGCGTATCATAAAAACCAAGATCTTTTTTGCTCTGCCACGCATAAGAAAAAATGTGAAGTGGAATAACTTCAGGTCCATGGGCATGGTACATCCTTTGGCCTTGTTTCTGGTGCAAATCCGTTTCTGAGAAAATTCGCAAGTGAACAAGTAAGACCGCTTGAGTCGACCATACTACTTGGGAACGTAAGGCCGTCCACGTTCGGCGGATTTTGAAACGGCTTGGACGAAAACGCTCAGCGAAGTCTCGTCCACAAAGCCAGCACTGCCAACTCAGCAGAAACGACATGTGTGCGCCGAAAGAGCTGCCTAGAAACGGAACGGAACAAGCGTCGGCGACAATTTCAAAACTTCAGAATTACGTCATCGTACAACTTTATGTCCCGAAAACGCGCAATCGAAACAGCCGTGACTCTAGGGTCCTGGGTGATGTATTTTACTCTAGTGCTAGTCACAAGTGTAAAAAGTGTGTGTGTGTGATATAAAAAACCCACAGTGGTGGGGGGACCGGCCCCCACCACTATGAGTAGTCGGTCTCCCCACATTAGGGTATACTGTTTAACATTGCAGTAATTAGACGTGACCTAAAAATTATTAAGAACCATGGCTACAGTTTAAGCCATAGCCATATGGTGTAAGACTGCGAAGGGTGGTCTTTCTAGGACGTGAAGCGCTCTTTTGAGGGTGAGGGTGGAGTTAGGGGTGTAGTAGCTGTGGTGTAGAATATGTAATACAGTAGATAGTGGCTTTCCCATGACATTGGTTTACAGCTGTGGCATGCTCTTATGCTGTTGTTTTCTGTTTTAGTTTTACAAGCTCCCCTCCCAGGGTCATGTAGCTATTACTAAGGGTATGCAAGAGACCTTTTTAAAGCAGCTGAATGTTGAAACGGAAGTAGGTCCTTAGGGTTAAAAATGGCTTAACCTAGACTCATGCTGTGGTGCCGTGTCAAGTACAGCGGAGCTGTAGTAGAGAAATAACCTCGTCCCCCTCATGAGAGGGAGGGTGTCGAGACTGGGTACACGACTGAGGATGGCCAACCCGACCAGATTGAAGGAGTACACCTCCTGATCCTACACCCGCAGGCACGTGTGTGTTTGTTGGGGGTGATCGAGGAGAAAGGGAGGGAAAGGGGGAGAAAGGAAAGTGACCAAACACAAACACAATGAGACCAGAGGCTGGGAGACTTTTGTCAACTTCACTACACACGGCAGCTCAGTGGTCAAAATTACATGTATCTTTAGATTTACCAGGGTACCCATTTCTGCTTCAGTGTTTTACGCTTGTGCAGCCCATTGTAGTTACGCAGTCTCACTCATACAAACACAAGAGCGGGACATGCCCAGCCTTGAGAACTGGAGACTGTGGGTTAAAGATCTTTGATGGCTAGCCAACTCTCCCCACACATCCAATGTCACAGACTCTCGTGCAAAATGTACAGCTTACAGTACTGTATTGAAGTAGTTACAATCACATACCTTAGGCTCTCTGGGGGACTTGCAATCTTCTACTAATGCACAGTGGGGTATTTATAGGGAGTTGTGATGTCATAGGTATGGAATTTCCTAAGGGAGAATTGAGCTTGTTACTATAGGGTCCTGGGTGATGTATTTTACTCTAGTCACAAGTGTAAAAATGGTGTGTGTTTGTGCATGTGTCTACGCTTTTTCTGGCACTACAGGCTAGGAGGCGGCCCATTAGCGATACCAGCGGCTTCAGTACGAGAGTGAAAAATGAAAGGGGGATTTTCCTGAAACGACTGCGTTCGAGAGCGACAAACTGGCACAGTCGCGGACCGCATTGCGTGGCCCAACCATCAATAAGTGGTGCGCATGCGTATACTAGACGCGATCAACGCGTGATGCTGGCTCACCTCGATCTGATCCGCTTGCTCTGTGTACGTTAGAGGAACAAGAAGCCACAGTGAAGGGTGTGTATCGACTCCCGCATGCTATCTACTACTGTAGCTCGCCCGTGTCAGACTCTCCGCGAGCTACTGGCGGGAGACCGCGGGTAAACGCTAATAGCCGGCCTAGCCCATCCATTTAGCGACACCGCGCATGCGTAGTTCGCCGAGGGTTTGCACTTCTTTTTTCCTCTCATTTTTATATATTATTATATCAGTGTTTCCCGCATGGTAATATTCAAATAGGGGGCATGTGCTCTCTGGCTAATAACAACTCGCTACTCCACCTTTCAAACCACTTCCTGTTGGGAAATCCCCTACTAGCACTGGCACTGTGCAATTAGTTTGCATGCGCAATAATTGTACACGCCCATTTTCACAATCAGGGCAGAGCGCCCAGTAGTTATAATGCTGCGGGGAAACACTGCTATATGTTTGAGAGAGGGCAAGTCCCTTATACAAATAAAATGATAGACTGCCTTTTATGTGACACTTGTTTCTACTACATTTTATTTCCATGAGAGTTACTATTGTAGCATAGATTTAGAGTGAAAAAGTCATTTTGTGAAGAAAGGGTCCTGAGGCTATATAAAAGTGCTTGAGGCTGTTTGTTGTTGTAGTTGTCATGGAAATGATGTAATACATATGCGTACCACATTCCATCTCCATGCGTGCTACCGTTCGCAGGTTTGAGGATTGAATAAGTAGCTAAATATGAAGAAATACACCTGAGGCTTGTCGTGTAAAATCCATGCGAGAAATGGTATAATATGCATGTGTACCAAGTTTCATCTCCATGCGTGCTACAGTTAGCAAGTTTGAGGAGTCAATAAGTAATTTTAAAGAAAAGTATCTGAGACTCTTTGTTGGTCGTCATGTAATACTTATAAGTTAGTTACTCCGTTTGAGGGAACTACGGGATTTCAATGAACCCGAGGGCCTCTGCGTTGTAGTGTCCCGAGCGCAGCGAGGGCAACTACGCGGATGGCCTGAGGGTTTATTGAAATCACGTAGTTCCCAAGTATACGGAGTACCAACATGTTTAGTGCAGAGCAGACAAATCCACACATGCACAGCGCCCGTTTCCAGGCAACTGAAATTCGAATGAGCATCAAGACGCAATTGATAACAGACTCGAGCAAGGTTTCAGCCATCAGCGGCGAGCCAGAAGGAAAAGGGCCCACTCTATGCGCACGTATCCGCTGATGTGACGTACCGCTAGCACAAGCGTACAGGCGCTTACATGTAGCGGCCCAGACTTATTATTGTAGACGATAAAGCTACATGTTTCTATAGGTGACGTGATGTTGACATTTTTATGTGAAAATTTTGCAGGGTTTACTACGGAGAGTCCCAGGTATACTACGGAAAATCAACTACCTCGTGTGGACCAATAAGATTGCTCGATTTAAATCAGCTATGCACTAAACATACGTACAAGTTTCATCTCCATGTGTGCCACCATCAGCGAAGTCTCTCTCGCTTCTTGCTGCACACGAAGCAGCATTCTGAAGGGAATATCTTTAGATTTCATCATCATGCATAGACGTCAGCATATTGCGCATAATGTGGACTCTAAATCCCGTCTCACGGAAGACAACATATGAAGGTCACTGTCTATACTTGCGCGTCGATGGAAATACATGATTTAGACGGCCTTGGAGCCTTTAGTAGCGCATTTGAGACAGCTATAGCTCAGGGCCCTTCAGCCCATTGATTAACTTACACGGGTTTGCTTGTGGTCTACTGGGTTACACGCTATTGGCTTCAGTTTTGATAAACCACTCAGGCTGTGCCCTTGTGCCCTACAGAAATCGGCCAAAATTGCCAACTAGTGTACAACCCGTAGACCACACTCTGCCTTCATGTAATATATCGTATGTGTTTGACTGTTCTCTTTTATAGGTTTCACGGCAACACAGGAAGTACTTGAAGTGATAAAGTTCAAGGGCGAAAGAGATGGCACGCTGAACTTCACAAGAGAGCAATACAGAACTGCTCATGACAAGGTGACAAGGTCGATGGGCCGACTTCAATTGAGAGAAGAACAGAGAAAGGGGAGGGAAAAAGATCTTACAAGTCTCGTGGTCGACGCAAAGAAGGCTCTGGACGAGGCAGCAGGTGCACTAAAGACAGCGGGAGACTCTCTCTCTCCGCACTCACATCTGCACGAGGCGTTTAGAGAAGGCTTCATCTGACTCACTGAGATCACCACTGCACACACTGTACAACACCAAGTCTGCACGTCAGACTAAATGTCAATTTTTTTATCTTCCCGCCTGCATCATACGTAAAGCCAAGTGTTATGCACCAATTCAGCCAGTGTAGGTGCCTCCATGCTGTTCAAATGGTAGGGTATTTCTAAATAACAAGTAATTTCAGGCAGTAACACGGAGGTATAATATAGAAGAATAGCATAAAAAATTGGTTGGCTGACACAATCCCACGGATAACACCTAGACAGAGAGAGGAAGGATATACAGAATGGGAGTGTAACAGAACAAGGATCCCCTTTGCCTCACCAGACCGTCTGTCTCCTGATGTCTTGTAAACATTGTTCACACCGTTTACTGTAACTGGTTTGTCACCATGTAGAAGTTTCTATGCACGTGGGTCATTCAGTATATAAAGTCATACTGCACACTTCCCTGTGTTCCCAGTCCTCACAATATCAATTACCCTCTAACTGAGCTCTGTCGCGCAAGCTGACTTGACTTCGGCACCTCGGCAGGATTACAATTGGCGTAGTCGGCAGGATCTATGGCCGAAGAAGAAAGAGGGCGCGAGGGGGAACCGAGAGCCGAGAATCGGGGAGGCTCGGCCGCAAGGGACGTACGAACGTCGGGCGCCGCAAGACCCATTCGACGGGACGTCCAACTGGGATGACTGGGCGTTTCATTTTGAGAATGTAGCCGCAGTGAATGGGTGGAATGACGCCGACAAGCTGAAGTGGCTCAGAGTCCGCCTGACTGGACGCGCACAAAAGGCTCTACACCGACTCCCAGAGACGGCTACGGCGACGTACGCGGCAGCCAGCGCGGCAATGAAGGCTCGTTTTGATCCGGAGAGCCGTCACACCCGCTACCAGACTGATTCCAGGCACGGAGGAAGAAAAGCTCGGAAGGTTGGGCTGACTTCGCCGACGACCTAAAAGCGCTAGCTGACAAGGCCTACCCGACACTCCAGGACCAGGCACGAGAGCAGTTAGCGATCAACGCTTTTCTGCAGCAGTTGTCACCGCCCGAAGTTGCGTTCAGCGTGAAGCAGAAGCGCCCGAACACGTTGGACGATGCAGTGGCAGCGACGATAGAGCTGGAGTCGTATGTCAGCCCACCCCCGGCAAACGTATCCACCACGCAACCCGAGATGGCCTGCTCCCCCGTAACCGACGATAGTCAACTGAAACAGCTGACGAGAGCTGTTGAACATCTCACTGAACAGGTTGAACACCTGAAAAATGCTGGTGCTCGCCCGCCCAGGAGGAGCAGCCGACCAGCTCGTCCATTCGCTGCTGAGTGGATTCCGTCTTACTGCATCTCTCAATGGCGTTGGTGTGTCCCTGCTGGTCGACACGGGAGCTGCAGTGTCATTACTGCGACTGGATGTCTGGAAACGGATTATGGCCCAAAACCCAGGTTCTCTGGAACCCTGCCCCGCCTTGCGACTCCTTGGTGCAGGGGGCGAGCCCCTGACAGTGCACGGACGTGCATATGACTTTGCTATTGGGGACTAAACGTTTTCCCCTCAATATGGTGGTAGTTGACCCCCTCACCTCTCCAGCAATCCTGGGTCTTGATTTTCTAATGGACCAGCAAGTGACCATCAGTTTTTCAGACCATACCCTGCAACTCAAGGAGGAAGGATGCAAGTTTGCTCTAGAGGAACCGCCAACTCGTGGTGGACCCGCTACAAAACTTACGGTTCGATCGGCAGCCACTGTAGAGGTTCCTGCAAGAAGCTCGATGCATATCGAGGGAACTGTAACCGGAGCTAAGGAAGGACTGTGGCTCCTAGAGGAGGCAGCCAAGCAGAAATTGCCGGTTGCAGTTGCACGTGGCCTTGTGCAGGTAACCTTGACTGCTGTCCCTGTAATTGTCCTCAACACTATGGAGGAGCCAGTGACCCTTTATCGGGAAACGGAGCTGGCTACCCTGCAGGAGGTGGATGAACCAGCAAAGTGTGTGGTGGGGGCAGTGGACGAGGGGCAGCCGACTGTTGTGGAGCCACGCAAACAGGAGATGCTCTGAAACCTCGTTGAGGGCTCGTCGCCAGACCTCAGTCCAAGTGAGAAAGACTTGTTCTATCACCTTCTGCTGCTTATACCGATGTAATAGCACACTCAAAGTCAGATTTGGGGAAAACAAGCATACCATAACACCATATCCCTACACGAAAGAAGGTAATATGCGATACTGGCAGGGTGAGCACTTATTATGTGCATCAGCACGGTGAAGGTGAGTTGATAGAGAAAGAAACAATAGAAATGCAATAACAAATGAAAAGCACTAAAGTGCAGACCCTCGGCGAACTGCGCATGCGCGATACTGCTAATTGATGGGCTGGGCTGTTTGTATGCGTTTACTCGTGGTCTCCTGCTAGTTGCGCGCGGAGAGTGTGAACGGGCAAGCTACAGGAGTAGATAGCATGCGGGAGTCGATACATGCCATTCGTTGTGATTTTCTGGCCCCCCAAGGTACACAGAGCGAACGGATCAGGTCGCGGTAAGCCCAGTGCACATTCGGAACAGCTGCGATGATTTTTTCCTCTCCACCAGTACAGTAGAAACTTCTCTAGAAACGAGGGAACCTGAAGACTGTATATGAAACATCACATCCAAAATCTCTGAATAGAAAGGTAAAGTGCAGAAATTATCACAGGCCTTAGATCTATCATGTAGAGCATATAGGAGTCATATACAGGTGTACGTGTATATGAAAACTACGAGGTACGAGGTAGAAAGGGAAAGCCACAACAAACAATTCAACTACACGGCCAGGACAGCTTTTTTTCCCAAGGAAATAAGGAGCTGCCCTGTAGGTGAGATTCGAACCGACGACATTCTGCCTGCAGTCTAGTACCAACTGAGCTATATTGTGTGTGTGTGTGTGTGTGTTGTTGGTATATTGCGATGTGATACACACAAAAAGCACACTCACCAAACAACTCAGATTCCAAATGGACTGTAGCCCTTCTAGGAAGACTTCAGAAAGTCTGAAAATAGAAAATAGAGAAAAGGAGATGGGAAGAATAACACAGAAACATGGTAGTAAAACAAAAACTGAAGTGAGTATAGCAGGAAGTTGGACACAGACTACAATTGGAATACAGTCTGACCTATTTCTATGGTGGCAATCTTTCATGGGGCACCACATTTGAAAGTATTGCTTACTGAAGCTCAAACCACATCAAAGACCCTACAGCTCTGCTTTTACTGCAGGAGTGAACACAGTGCAAGGTGTATATAAGCCGCTTCATTGCGTGAATCTGTCACTGACACTCGTACACCAGTGGCATTTGTGAAGGGGTGAAATGAAAGTACCGTAGAGGTGAGTAGCAATGTCTACTGCCCCTACACATCTGACAATGTTCGGGGCATGCAACTGTTTGTTACACAGGCATCACCCTGTAATGTGTGTCTCCACAGACTGTTACGAATGTGGCTTCCTCCAGACACTAGACAAATCAGCATAATAGGATTCCTGTTTTATCATATCATGAGGAGTACCCGATTGACATAGCTGCCTCCGGAGAGCTCAAGCAGCTAGCCCGAGTGGATTTCAGTGCTCGAAAGGCCCTAGCTATATAGGCTTTAGGAGAGGGAGAGGAGGGGAGGGAGAGGGAGAGAAGGAGAGGGAGTCTCCATTGGGCCTTCTCTCTAGCCCAATTAGTATTACATAGTGGTGCCATTTAGTACCTACCCATTAGGGCTTGCACTCCTTTATTTATTACCTGCATGCATGTCTTGTGATCGCGTGTCATGCGATATATAGCTGGCATCAGGTGTATAATATATCAAAAGACATGCACAAAGACATTGACCAACCTCTTGCAAGAACTCCTGGGTGAAGCACTGAATGTAGACTCAACCTACTAGTGGCCTTTATCATCGGCAGAGTGGTCAGTGAAGGGCTGTATTCCTTAGCTCATTTCAGGCTATATGTACAAGGAAGAGGGAGGGGGATGGGGAGGGGGAGGGAGAGAGGAGGAAGGAAGATGGAAGAGAGAGGGAAGGAGTACAATAGTAAGCACACTGAGTCAGAAAAAAGTTTACGTCATAGATTCTGTGTCTCACCTCCTCTGCAAGTATACAGTACACAAAAGAATCAGAGCCTGAAAACTGGGTAGCCTCACAAACAGTGTGGTAATTAAGGGCAGTATACTCATAGACGCATACATACAGCATTCAGTAGTAATGTTGTTAATGAAGTTTTGGTGTCTAATTGGTCAGCTTCGGAATCAGACTAGATTCATACACACACAGAGATGACTGCCCCACAATGTCGTCACTCACAGGTGGATTCACACTGCACGTATAACCTATATTATGCAGGCCTATTGTCCAGGCAGTGTGAATCCACCTGTGAAGAGTGGATGTCACGATACACATGTACCCACCAATAGGTCAGTGCACAAAAAAATGTGCACAAGTAGTTTTGTTAGAATTTGAAGGCCTACTTGGCTTCAAAAGCTTTGCACCTATACACGCTTGAAGGGGGCGTTTTCACTGTCAACCCTAGAAAGCATATCTGCAGGTTAGTAGATACATGTGTCCATACATACACACAATAATTCCACATCCACTCTTCGTAACATGCATGTACAATGCAGTGTCCAACAGCATCCAACAGAGAAGGAACTAACAGAGAGAAAACAAGCAAGACCTCCAGGTTGATATTGGACACATTTATGGATGTTACATGTGTAGCTGTGGTTTCTCCACAGACTTTAGGAAAGGTTGTAAGGTAATTAGGCACAGCGAGGAATTACATACATCACACACGTTCTTCTATTCGCAGGGAGTTGCAAACAAAAAAAACTGCATGCAACTTCCTCCCAAGTGACACCACGAGGAGGTTGAAGTCCCATCATGGGACAGTCTCAATTCATACTCACACAGAGATGACTGCCCCACAATGTCGTCACTCACAAGTGGATTCACACCACACAAATACTTTGCCAATATAGAAAGTTATCCGTGCTATGAGTTTGTATGGTTCTGTCCTAGGCAGTGTGAATCCACCGTGAAGAGTGGGTACCCACATACAGGTCAGTGACAGTTCTGCACATACAAATGTGCACATGAGCTTTGTAAAGTACACACTGGCAGAGGGTATATTTTCACTGTCAACTTTGTTACCTGCTGGTTGGTACAACACACATTATCTATTTCACATCCACTCTTCAAAACATACAATGCAGTGTACAGTTCCATACAAACAGCTACCCTCCGTGGGATCCTGTTAGATACTGTAACAACCCGAGTGTGGAGATCTCATAGTAACAACTGACTCAGGTGCAAACATACCCGAGTGTGGAGATCGATCCTAGCAACAGCTCACTCAGGTTCACACATAAGCATACTAAAGTGCAAACCCTCGGCGAACTGCGCATGTGTGGTACCACTAATTGATAACATAGCCCAAGCCATGGCTTTTCTTGCTGGTGTATAGTGAAAGTTTCATGCCCGGTAGCTGCATCAATGGCTACGTTATTATAATGCAACTTGCGCGTTCCCGCAGAGTAAAAATGGCCGACTAGGCGACTAGCCGTACAATGCTGGGAGCGCTTTAGCTTTGCAACGGAGCATTTTCGGAGAAAACTGCACAAAAGTACTGACCTTCATTGCCCGTTAAGTAGGTAGTATCATTTGTGAGACGAAAACATTCGAGAAGTGAGATGTTGAGTAACAAACAGACAGACAGACAACCCAACTACCGCACCCTCGCTAACAAGGTGAACACAGCAGCGTGCATGAACTAATAATATACATAAAGACGAAACTCAGCTTTCAACGTACGTAAACAGCGTAACAGCGTAGCAGCAAATGCATGTAGTATCTTTACAGGTACATCTGTATATAATACTCACCAAAAGATCTTGAGAAATCCATTCTCTTGCACTCTGCAGAAAAAAAAACAGACACTCTGTATATACACTTCCCATTTTGAGAAACGTATCACACCGCTGTCACGTGGCATTATGACTGCACCCCCTAAGTTTTAGGCAATAAATTTCCCACAAAATCGTCGAGTTGTGGCGTTACTGTGCATGCCTAGAGAGGAGTGCCGTGCCGGTTGCAAAGAGGTGGGTGTAGGAAGACCATGCACTAGTTCAGGGACGGTGGAGCTGTGTAATTACGCGATTTGCAGAACTGCCTCTCATGCAATTTTGGTAATAAAGCTGATTTATCCACCAAACTACCATAACAATGACTCCACAACAATCACAGTTACACAAGCCACACCAATTAATTTTGTGGTTACAAAAAGAGATCTGTGGCCTAGGAGTTAGCCACAAAGGCAGTGGTACAAAAGCAGCACACCACTGCAGTAGGCTACATTTCTCCCTCAACAGCCTGATCTGAGAGGTCTGTTCCATGTGTTACTTCTGTGTGTATCTGTGTAAACCTTAATTGGGTCTGTCCCCTCTTTTAGCTTCGAGTGAAGAATGGAGAACTCAAATGAAGGTGTGTACTTCTTCCTGGCAAGTGACTGTGTAGGGTATACGAGTGTGAAATTTCAGCCTCTTATCTGCATGTATTTGGTGTAACAATGCAAAAATATAAATCATGGTGCAAGGAAATTATCACATAATTATGACACTTAGAACAAACAATCACTACCCAGTATTATGATTAGAGGGGTTCTAGGGTCTTTGCTGTGTGTGGTGGCAGAAAACGTGGTAATGGAATAACGGACACACTCACAAACTAAGTACTGTAACCATTGCTGTGCATGTGTGCCAAGGGTTAATAATTTTTCATGTGCTACCTCTCATCAATCTGCAGACCCACCTCCCTCTGCTCCAACACAGTTATCCCCTCAACACCCCACCCCAGTCCAGCCTCCTATTTATATCCTACAACTCCCCACTGACCCACCCCCACCCAGCTCCCTACCTACCCCGCCCAACACCCCACTCCTGCCCAGCTCCCAATCTACCCCACCCAACACCCCGCTCCTGCCCAGCTCCCAATCTACCCCACCCAACACCCCACTCCCTCCCAGCTCCCAACCTACCCCACCCAACACCCCTCCTGCCCAGCTCCCACTACCCCACCCAACACCCCGCTCCTCCAGCTCCCAATCTACCCCCCAACCCCACTCCTGCCCAGCTCCCAATCTACCCCACCCAACACCCCCTCCCTCCCAGCTCCCAATCTACCCCACCCAACACCCCGCTCCTGCCCAGCTCCCAATCTACCCCACCCAACACCCCGCTCCTTCCCAGCTCCCAATCTACCCCTCCCAGCTCCCAATCTACCCCACTCAACACCCCGCTCCCTCCCAGCTCCCTACCTACCCCACCCAACATCCTGCCTTCCCCAAAAACCCCGCCATAAGCCCTATAGCAAGAGGAGTAGGAAGGGAAAGGTTAGTTATTATTATTTGAGATCGGCTTGTATTTTGATCCATTTACGTAGAAACCCAAGGCTCATTCTCCTCCTCCCCCCTCTACCACCACCACTACGGCGGACAAGAGTACAACAACCACCACCACCACCAAAAATTGGTTTTCTAGGTGGTTTTGAAATGGAGGAGTTTTAGCTGTTTAGGTGTTGTGTTTACATATGTACGTATATCAGTGTTGGGGTGTAAGTGTGCGAGTAAGACCTGTTAGTTTCGGTACCCATACCCCTACGTAAAAACTAAGGAGGGGTCTGGGGACCAGGCTGGGGTGGAAGTGTCTCCGTACGCCGGAATGTGTTCGTACCGGTAATTGCAATTATGACCGTGTATGACGCGTTCATTGTCACATGTGCGCACAGTACTCTAGCTAGCTAGCTATTGTAGCTCTCTAGTACACCGCACACATGAGCGCGGAGCGTAGGAGCGTGCATTTGCGTAGTCCCGGGAGAAGACAGCCACCCGTATGTGACAAGAACCTGTATGTAGGCAAGGAGATGGACATGAACGTCGTTTCCCCCCACAGAACTGAGAAGACGTAACAGAGCATCTTTCTTCTTCTTTTACATGATCAGAGCCAAGTCTATAGCTTAGTCTACTTGCATGGATGACCATGCTAAGAGAACATGTAGCAAGACTTAGCAGGCGATGATTTCGCACGCGCTAATCAAACGTCATACATTACGCGTGGCATCTACGTGATGGACATTCATGTACACGGGGATGCGCATATAACATTCTACGGACACACTTACACCCCAGCCTGATGCTCAGACCCCTCCTTCGTTTTTACATTGGGGTCTGGTACGGAGACTGGGTACCGGAGCATTACAATGACTAGTACATTCGGGATGGCTGCAATGATATTTCCCTCCACCTGTATAGTAGCAGCTTCCCTTGAAATGACACAGTGTATCAATCAACAAACACACTGTGAATTGAAATGTAAAGAATTTATCACAAGCCTTCTATCTACGTATGTAGAGCATGAATGGAAACCCATGCAATGCATGAAAATTACTTACAGGTTGCCTACGGCACACATAGTAAAAACGACCACGAGAGAAGGTAATGTGTGAATACTGGCTGAGTGTGGATTTATTAGAATTTGCGTCAGCATGGAGAAGGTGAATTAAAATTGACCTAAAACTCTCTAACAATACTAACCACTGCTCACTGGATCATTAGTACATTCAGGATGGCTGCAATGATTATTCCCTCCACCTGTATAGTAGCAGCTTCTTTGAAATGACTGAACCTGCACAGTGTATCAATCAACAAACACACTGTGAATAGACATGTTATCACAGGCCTTCTATCTACGTATTTAGACGCATGCATAGAAACCCATGCAATGCATGGAAGTTACCCACACAGAAAAAAATGACCACGAGAAAAGGTAATGTGTGAGTCTTCCTGTACAGCTACAAGCCTGTACAAACAGCAAAAATTTGGTAATTAAAGTGCAAACCCATCATGCATGTCATCAATGATTGACTTTACAATGAGATACATGCTATAAAATTGTATCCATAAAAACTGGCTCACTAAAGGCATCAATGCCAAGTGCATTTTTCAGAATTTGGTAGTCAACTTCATGAGTACAACCAGCAACAATGAAAGCACTTATAAGTGTGTGAAACATTGCACCTTGCATTGCACAGCCAGTACAGCAAATGCTGACAGAAATACCACCTCCCAACCCTTTACTCTTTACACTAATAGGAGTCAAATTTCCTCTGCATCCAGGAGTATTACAGCTCCTTGACGCATCCAAAAAGTGGCCTAATTGAGGCAATGAAAAAAACATAACCTATTGGGCAAGTAAATTGGACTTGGTTTACCACGAACCATACCAGGACGTTCAGGTGTTGGAATAAAGAGAGTCATCAAAAAATTGCTACTTCACACTCACTCTCTCAACTGTCCAAAGACTCACCCTCGGAACTAATAAAATTATGCAAATAATCATCCTCACACCAATCCATAGTAACACCCTCCAAACATTCCTCTCCGGACTCCTCTGAGCCATCTTTCGGACACTCAGATCCTAAAGATATCAAGCACTCACTAATAACTGTTATTGTTATGCCATCAAAAGTGTGTACAAAAAGTCCATCACAAAGACTAGGGAAAGTAGGCCTATACTGTTAAAAATAGAGAGTTCATGATTCATTGAGGAAAGAAGGCAAAAATGTTGTATTTTTATGTGAGAGAAAAAGAGACCAACTAACTCCTGATTGCATTAGGCGTAGTGATTGGTTTCGTAAAAAGCAATTGGGAAAAATACAGGCTAGCTAGACCTGACTACCATGACTAAAGTGATTGGTTTCGTACAAAGTACGTACTTTAGAAAGCACATGATCCAAAGGCTGCTAGCGGTTGTTCAGAAATAAAACAAATATTCCAACGATCGACGTCCATCCAAATGACATCATCAACAATGAGAAATGAAAGAAGCATAGCATGATTTTATACGAAGGAGTCCACATGCTCAATAAGACAACCAATTGACCGGTCCGTCGATAAAGAAAATGGAAAATGGTAAACAGAGAGCAGTGATCCTTTTTTCTCCGTTCATATGTACATTATGCCATGATTTTAGCATTAGTCAGGAGTACAGTAGTCAACATGGGTAGCACGTAAGGACAGGGCAGCTACTCATTCGGAGTACCTTGATTACACCTGGTGATTGCTTTCGTACTTTTACACAGCATGTGAGAGAAAGGACAGGTCATTCAAAATACCTAGATTACAAGTCGTAAATGCTTTCGAACATGGGACAACGGGAAGAAGTAGTGAAGGAGCTTTTATACTCTCAGTTTGTAGTTATTCATGAGTTAAAAGCTTGCAGCAACCTGCATTGTGACCTAAGTCCTAAGTGTCCTGCATTGCCCAGCACACCACCAGCTGCAATGCAAAGGGGGAAACCAGTGAATAGTACTGGCAATACCATATCTTGAAGTATATCGAGAGGGAGAGAGAGCGAAGTCCAGTACAGAGTGCCACCAAAATTTATGCAAGCGACAGGGATGGTGAGCGTATTGTAAGAAGAATATTGGCTGTGAAGTTCATGAGTGTAGCGGAAGCTCTATGGATACACAAATTTTACAGCAAGAAGTTGAGTTCCAGTTGTCAGTCTGTTCTCTGTCACTCACTGCCGTCAGTCTGTTCTGCCACGTGCAAACTCTATAATAAAGACCCACCACTAGGGCTATCCATAGTGTCCGCAGGAGTTATAGAGCTATTGGTTGACCCAGGAACCTTCTCCTGCTGAATGGAACCAGAGAGACATTGCTTTCTCAGCGAAACACTGCAAGAAACAGGAGATAGAAAGCATGAGAAAGTATACATTATAGCTTATATACCGAAGGCCAGTTGTCTGAAATGCACGGTTTTCCATAGTGCAGTAAATATCGCACATATTATGAAAATACACACAAACATTCACTCGCCAACAATGCTTGATCTAGTACAGAGAAAACCACCAATTATTAGCACTCTCAATTATGCAACGGCTATGGCAACACACCTACAGTTTCTTGTCTGCCAGTTTGAGGCTTCCTACGTACATCTCAAAAGCATGCGACACTCGGTATAAAATTTGGACAGAGAGCTTGCATTTGACAAGGTAGCATGTCAATGGATTCAACGAATGGTTGAGACTCACCAGTAGCAGCAGAGGAGTGTAGGGCTGGGCAAATATTGGTAATCATTTCCTCATCATGGGATCGTGATCCTGTAGGATAGATTAGCACACAAACCCTTATTAGCGTGACATGCTGGCATAAGGAAACAGCATGGAAGTGTGCCCAGACGTACGCAATCCCCCTTCCCTAAATATGGCTGTCTACTTTTATTTTTGTAGGCCTGTATGTAGGCCTACATAGTCAAGTACATACAAGCTTGATTTGGTATCTCCAGGTAGCTAAACTTCAAGTGTAAATGTGTCGAGGTGGCACATTATCTTTAACACTGTCCCCGCCGCGCCGTTCCAATGAGAGATCTCTATCCTAACAGCAAGTCTACGTTTCTGGTCCACAGTGACACCGTCCAAGTGCCAGAAGTATATTTCACACTTAGATAAGGTTATCCCTGAAATGATAAGAGTGAATGGAGAAGCAACGGGGTTTTAACATCTTACAAGTATAACATTTCCACCCCAGTCTACCATTTTTGTTAAGTGTGGCTATTATTGGATGTACACCTACGTATATAACTGTATCTATAGTGAGTGTTGTCATGTTGTTGGATGTCCACATTGTCTCGCATTCTACTATATATAGCGACTGTTGTGTTATTGGACGTCCACTCTGTCTCTCGTACTGTATGCTCATTGTTTATTGTTGTTGGATGCCCATACTCTTGTGTAGTGGATTTCCACATTGTCTCTCACTGGTATATGTAGTGTTGTATTAAACAACAAATGTATACTGATGGCAATGTAGATGGTGATCATAAGAACAATATATATAAATGGTGATACACATATATACACAAGACTGATGTACAAAAAGAGAAAATTGTGAATGCCAAAGAGAGATTGAGAAACATTGTGGATGCCCACTAAATATGTACGTATGTACGTACATACGTACGTACATACGACACAGGTGCCGGCTAAAGTATCAAATTGTGGATGACCACTAAATATGTACGTATGTACGTACATATGACAAAAATGCAGATGCCTGCCAGAATATAGTTTGACAAAAATTGTGGATGCCCACTAAACAGGTGTATGTACGTGAGACAAAAACAGCAGATGTCCACACATGTGTGAAAGGATTTCTGCTAGAAAAGGTTTGGATGTTGTCGTGACCTCGTAGGTTCATTACGCACGCCTTGACATATTGATAAGCAACACAGTCTAACAGTCTGCACACAGTAAGAGAGTACGCTACTTATATAGCTAAAAATAGGAAACGGAAATGAAGTATAAGTGACGTCACGAGAGTATTTAATGACCAGTCAATGCATATCTATGACATTCCTCCCCCCTTAGGTGAATGCTTACAGACAATCAAAAGAAGTGAAAATAAAGAAAACATAAGACAAAGTATAAACATGCAACTACGAAAATTACACAAAGACATTACAGAACTCATGCATGCCATAACAACACAATATCAAGTTTTTCCCAGTTCAAACCTTTCACGAGTGGTTGGTGTCACTGGAATTTCTGACATGTCTGGAGGTCCATCGTCAGTGACCCTTAGACGTAACTGGTCTTGGTGACAACGTTTGCATCTGCCATCGTCCAGTAAGACGTGAAATGACACCGGACCAGATGTTTCTATGATCTTTCCTGGAAGCCAACCGGGACCAGTAAAATTCTTAAAAAGAACTGCGTCACCGATACGAAAAGTTCGAGATTTACCACGTGAATCATGTTGTGCTTTTTGTTGCTGTTGTTTGCGTTCCACCCTCTCCGCCGTATTGGGTTTCAGCAGATCGAGGCGTGTACGCGGTCTCCTCCCCAACAGAAGTTCAGCTGGAGCTAGTCCAGTTGTACTCTGTGGAGTAACCCAGTAAGCAAGGAGAACCTTTGCTAGTCTAGCACTCATGGTACCGTCTTTGACCTTTTTCAGACCTCTCTTGACCGTTTGCACGGCCCTTTCTGCCAGACCATTTGAAGCAGGATGGTAAGGGGCTGATGTTGTGTGTTTGATACCGTTTGACCGGAGGAATTGCTCAAACTCTGAGCTGACAAAACAAGTCCCATTATCTGTGACCACCATCTCCGGCAGCCCAAACCTGGCGAAGAGTGATCTGAGCTCTTCAATGACACACAAAGAAGACGTGGTCGGAGTGCAAACAGCTTCAATCCATTTAGAATGTGCATCCACCACAATAAGGATGTTTTTGCCTTGAAATGGACCCGCAAAATCAAGATGGAGTCTCGCCCAGGGTCTAGTAGGCCATTTCCACGGATGAAGTGGAGCAAGTGGGGGTGAAGACTGTACTTGTTGACAATCATGGCAGAGGCGCACAGATTTTTCAATATCTGCACTAATCCCGGGCCACCAGACATACATTCTGGCGAGGGACTTCATACGTGTTATTCCCGGGTGTCCTTCATGCAGCTCTTGCAGAACTGTTTCTCTGCCTGGTGGAGGAATCACTACACGTGTTCCCCACATGATACAGCCCTCATAGCTGGAAAGCTCCAAGCGACGTGATGAATAAGGTTCCAGCTCAGGATCCCCATCACTTGGCCAGCCCTGCTGAATGTACTGCAGAACTCTTGCCAACTTCTGGTCTCGTTGCGTCCAGACTTTGATGTCGTTGGCACTAACTGGAGATTCATTTAGATGCTCAGCTAACAGCACTAGCTCAGGCTCTTCGAATACCTTCGCTGGCTGTTCCGGCAGTGGCAAGCGACTCAAGGCGTCAGCGTTTGCGTGCGCTGTCGTGTTTCGAAATACCAGTCGATACTCGTAGTTAGAAAGAAACAAAGACCAACGTTTGATACGAGAGGATGCCTGCTGGGACGTAGCGCGATATTCTTTCAGTAAACCCAACAGAGGCTTGTGGTCTGTCACCAGCTCAAAGGAACGGCCAAACACATAATCGTGAAATTTCTTTATTCCAAAAATACAGGAAAGACCTTCCTTTTCTAGCTGAGAGTAATTTCTCTCACTAGCTGTGAGCGTACGTGACGCGTAAGCTATGGGCCTCTCTGTACCGTCAGCCATCTTGTGTGACAGCACTGCC